TAAATCCCATAAGAATACGTGTAAATTCATCAGCTGTGAACTGTCACTCTCTCTAGGTCCAAGCCTGTGGTTCAGGCCTGCCGTGGTATGAACATATATAGATACAACGTTGATATAGCCATAGCAAGCAAACACTTACTTGAAGCCTATTTTATGTTTATATAAAACTTTGTTTGACTTAAAGCCGTCTTCACTTAAGTCAATTAAAACTTACTAGTTATTTGCTTACTTGACTTGAAGTGTTAACAATAACCTTAATGTAATAGCCAAACGTCATTTTCCACCTTCCTGATGACAAAGTTCGCAAGTTTGAGTTTCGAGCTTATTTTAAATCAAGTACTAAAGCAATTTAAATCAAGTAGAAATAAAGCAATTGTAAAGAAAAAAAAGCGTTTGTGTCCTAATTCATACTTTATGAAATTTATTATCATAAGTTTTATATTCATAGGAAGTATACAAAATATTGTTGAGTGATTGGATTAGTGGATTTATATGCAGAGTCGAATTACTTATAAAATAGGTATACCTTTTTATGATATAACAACCAAAGTATATCTATTTGAGAAGCAGTTCTACCAACGAATTAGAAATACTAAGGGAAGGAGCAGCTTTATTTCTATCTCGCTTGCAGTGAAACCAAAAATTTCAGGTAAGTCTCTTTCTTTGTTCCGATCATTATCAAATTGAAATTGACATTAAATGCCAAATGTTTTTTTTTTCTTGGAAAAGTAAGCGACGTTGGTGAAACAAAGTGAATAAAGAAGTTTAAGTGATTTTTGTTTTAAATTATTGTAGTTTGTGAATGAAAAATTATAAAATGCTTAGGAAAAAGTGTTAAAAAACTATTAAAGTGAAAAAAAACTATTATTCAATATAAAGTTATAACAAACTAAAAAAAAAACAAATTCTTGTATACCATAAGGCAGGTAATGTGATGGCACCGAATTTTGGATGTCAAGTTTTCGGTGGGAACGCACTTCTGTTATTAACACAAATGTTAGTCTACTTTTAGAAAGATGTGGTGTGAGTTAATTTTATATGTGAACTTATTTTGGCTATGGCATGGATTGATCAACTTTTGAAATATATTGGACCTTTGGAACTGGACCTTTTTGCGGGCTAATTTTATATTTTTACGTATATAAAGAGAAATAATTAGCCAATTTCCTTGAAATTTAATATTTAAATTCGGAATGTTAAAAAAATGAATCTATAAATTTTTTTGGAACGATTAGGGCTCTTAAACTAAATTGGAGATCCCCACTTTATTACGATTTTTTACCGAACGGATTAGTGGAATGTTTTGAAAATTGATATTTGAGTTCTAGTTGCACTAACTAACTGGTGAACTTTTCAGGGTGGAACAAAGCGAAATTCTATTAAGAGTCAAATTTACGCTTTTCTTTGTATGTTACAAAAATTCGAAATAATGTTTCACACTGAAAAATGTTTTGCTAACATCATGTCATCAACGAAAAATACATTTCAAGTTACACCCAAGGTAGTAAAAAAAATATCAAAAAAAAATATTATATTTAGTTCACTTTTAAGCGCCATAAGGTATTGTAATATAATATTTAATTTCAATTCATAAAATAAATTTACTTAAAGAGAACAAAAATAAGTGAGCTCTGTTTATATTCAATTTTTTTTAGATATTTCAAGTGAAAAAATATTTTTAAATATTTTTTAGTTCTTTCTTTAAAAAAAAATTTTAACTTACTTTTTAACAAATTACGTACTCGTATATTTAATAGTAGAGGCAGAAACTATTTTGTAGACTTAGAAATTTATACAAAAAAACGTGAACATTTTGTTTTTCTTCTTTTTAGCTTTTTAAATTCTACTTTTAATTTTTTTGGATGGGACATTTTTACTTTTCAGTTTTTAAAAAAAATAAACTGAAAATTACAAAATATATGTAAATATTCAAGAAGGTAAAAAAACCAAATATTAAAATTATAATTTCTGACGTTAACCGATATTCTTTTTAAAAAACTGAAAAATATAAATTTCGCTTAAAAAAATTAATAAAAAGCGTTTCTATGTCATTCTAATAATTCAACATCATTAGCAATAAATTCATCAACATCATTTTAAAAAATATTTAAATATTTTTTTAAAAGCCTCAAATTTTTAAAATTCCTATTATTTTTTATTTTTTGTTACGTTTTGTTTTTATTTTTATTTTGTGCCCAAGAGAAAAAAGTCTTTTTTATTTTCAGTTTCTGAAAATATTGATTTCGTGGACGTCGCGATATCTAATCAAAAAATGTTTCAATTCAGAATCTCTTACGTATTTTTGGTAGAGGTCAAATAAAAAACAAAATAAATACGCTTCAGTTACGATTTTGACAATGCTTGGAACAAAGAAAGCGCTCCTTCCTTTAGCATTTCTAATTCGTTTTTTTTTCTGGCCTCCATTATAAAATATATAAGAGATAAAAAAATTTTATAAGTAAAAATAAAAATGTATACGATATTAAAATATTTGAACATATTTGTGAAAAAAACCCAAATTTGAACAAAATACATTAAACATTTTTCTATTTGAATAAATAAATTTTATAAATTAGTATCAGTTTTATTTAAAATTTTTCTCCATATTTTAAAAGTGAAGTAAGATGATTAATGTTGAAAAAAAATTGTTGTAAAATAATTATGCACTCAGATTAACGTTGATCTGTTGTGTCTAATAAGCATACCGAGGATATCTACCAACGACGATAGAACCTACCAGTGTTCCAGATCTACCTTTCCGATCTTTTAACAGAGTAGGGGCAACACGTTTTTATATTTTCAAGGAAAATGGAGTGTTCTGGAATTCATTAAGCTCCGCCGGAGGTAAGGAATTCATTAAGCTCCGCCTGTATTGTTTAATTAGTAGAATTCCCTTCATCGGTTCAATTTGGAGCGCACATGAGGCAGAGCCAAATCCAAAAAGGGCTTGTATGGAGGCTGTGTGCACATCCTTAAGGTTCCCGCAACTCTAAGGCCAGACTTTCGCTGTATCTGTTAGGACCAAGCACGCCATCACTTGTTTAGCCTTCTGCCGCCAAATGACGAAGAAGAACGTTGCCTTCAGCTTTACGGAGTTTATCCAAAGACATAAGTAGCCCTAAACATTCGTATTAATATGGCCCCAATTTCTTTCAAAAACTCACAGTTGGGAAAGTGCGTGCGAAAGTGCAGTGTGGCAATTTTCTTCTCCCTGTACGATGGGTATTGTCATCACGGTCATTATGAGCTTTTTCTTCGTCTTTCTGCAGTACCCAACGAGTTTCTCTACGCCCCTTACTTCTCTCTTTCCTAAACCTCTTGCTAAGATAGTTTTGGCGTAATAGAGCTTCGGCTGGATACACCGTTGTTCAGGAATTATTACGGGTTACATCAGAAAACTTTGAAGGCATCGAAGTGTGCACTATGAGGTTAGTCATCGGAAGACCAACGATTCATGTCTGGTAAATGCGGGACGTGGGCCACAGGAGTTTCATTCTGTTCTACCGGATGTTTTTTTTCTTTCCCCGTAGTTGGAGTTGGTCTGTCCAAAGCGATAGTTCATGGTGTCGTCCAATTCGTTCGAACAGCCAGCCGAAAGAAGAACAACTGAAAAAGTTCTGAGCAATGCTACGGATCTCTGACTTAAGCAAGTCTGCTGTACTTCTGCCCTTTCATACCAGCAGAAGCCGCCCTATTTAAAATAAGCTTTTCGAAAATTGAAGTTTCACGCTTCGTTTTGTTCGTAAAAAACACGCCCCATAATTTCTTCCCGGATTGGGAGCATCTTAGATTAGGAATGTTTTGCAATAGGACGTCTTGGATATTAATACTAAAACTTTCTTGAACCACTAACTCGGTAGTTTCTTCTTAGCTCTTGCAGCAACACTATTAACGACTGAAGTCTGCAGTGCCCGCATCGAACAACTAGATATAGTAATACTTTTTGCTTTGGCTTGGCTCTGGTATAAGACAAACTTTCTTGTTCATTAAAGACTAGAAAACTCAGGAACGAGAAGTATGCATGAGATATGACCATTTCGTCGTTTCACACTTCACTCGCCTTTCTGCTTTATGCCGTTACAAAAGTTCATTACGTAAAGGTGACAATACTTATTTAAGTATCGGCTGTTGGTGGTGAAATCATTTCAGTGTTGCTGTCGAGTTGTACAATGTTTGCTATCACTCTACTGATTATGGTCGAATGAATTGGTCACTAGAATGTTCCGTTCTGTTAATTCTAATTCTTTGCTATTTGATCCTGGTATTAGTAAGGATACTCTTAGATCTAGACTTTTGCGTAATTTGTAGTAATATTTTTTTTGTTTGTTCTTCTCCTTTCCTCTCTTTATTTATCTATAATCTATATTATCTATTTCTTTTTCTCTCTTTTCTGCCTGCCATGTTGTTGTTGTTATTATTATTTTTAGGTTGTGCTCGTCATTTTAGTTTACTTGCCCTTTTTCTCTTCCCTCTTTTAACCTAAATATTTCTCTATTTTTTCCTTCCTTTCCTATAAATGCCATTGCTTGGTAACTGATAGTTGCTTAGTTGCGACTAAATGATGGTTTTATTTGCTCCTATTGGCGATATGCTTAATGCTTGATCTAAGCAATAGATGCCTGAAGTGCCGGTGATAAAATAGCCTACTATAGGCAGGGCTTTTATATTACTTTTGCCGTTTTGCAACGGGATGCTGAGTTAACAATGAAAATTGTTTTTACACTTATTCCAAATTTTGACTAATTTTAACTCAAGTGACGGTCAAAAAAATCCAAATAACTTTCGTTTTTGCAGAAATTGGGTAGACAGAAATTCTCATTACAGAGAAAGGGAAAGATATGATCTACAAGCAGATATTCTATTAATCTATCAGTTTAAAATATAATTTTGCGACATCTGCGTTGTACGTTATGTATACTTTGACATAACAAAAATATCAAGGCAATATTTCTGTCAGCTGTGATGTATACTCATATTTTCGCAATTATTCCGTATCGAAATCGAAAACGCTACCACATTTCTAAAATTTAAAAACAAAAAAAATCAAAAAACTTTGGTACATATGTATGTATTTCTACAAAAAAAAAAGTGAACTTGGTTATCGGATTTCAAATTGTTTTCTAAATATTATATTGATAAAAGTAAGATAAAATATTTTATTGACTGTAGAACTATATGACTGAGTTTATTGTTGTTATTAAGAAAGGATGTCAAGAGAAAAAAGATTTTCAATTCACGACGCCTTTGAGGAAGAAACTGATGAGGCAATAAGAGTGTATGGTTCGACTGTAATTTCTACACCCATTAGGCAATCAAGATGTACAGACGATATTACTATAAGAGTGAATGATCCAAGGTATGTACTAGAAATATGAGAAAATTACATATAACTTTGTGCATAATAATTAAACTCAACATTGAAAAAAAAAATGGGCACTCATCTATTTACGTACTTATGAACATTATTTATGTACATATCATGTAGATTATGTTAATTCCATTATTAACATTTCTTAAAAATTTTTCTGCATAAAAGCACATTTGAACGACAATTATTGACAATATATATTTACTCAAAACAAAGGTTTTTAAAATTTCAATAAGAAGTCGGTATACCCATGGTGATCTTTTCATTATTAGGAGAGCATAAAATCCTCAAACGTTATAAAAAATTTATTTTTTGATGTTTTTAATATGAAAAATCATCTGCAGAGCCTCAGATTTCTTTATAAAATAGCTGAAAAACATATCTTTTTAATTAAAATTTTCATTCAAGTCATAACCTGTGCTGAAAATATATGCGTAAAGTTTCTCTTAAAAAAAAAACTAGAAATTGACTTACTCTATCAAGTATTTAAAATGTCAGTTAAGTTTTTTGAACTTGAATGTCTGATGTTGAATGTGTTTTAAAAACTAAAATAAATTCTTTACTAAACATTAATTTTTCATTTACATTTGTATACCAAGTAAGTTTCACTCGAAATCCTTCGTTCCAAAATGTTCAGCTCTTCGCATAATTTTGATTCCAAAGAATTATTACTACACTACTTACATACATATAAATATTTTTTACTGGTTTTGTAAATTGATAAATTTGCTTCCTGGAGCTTTAGGATTGAAAATGAAAAACGTTTTTTAAACTTATCTTTTAACTTATAGAAGTTTAAAATAAAAAATTTATATTAAGTATTAGTGTCAATTTATTCATACATGTACATGAAATAGTCCATTAAAAATCGAAATTATGTTAAAAATATTAAAAATTCTATATTATTTAAAAAGTAATAACAGTAATTTATCAAAACCTTTTTAATTTTTCAATAGAGTAACTGTACCATAAAAAAATTTTAAAAACATATTTCTGTTTCCATAAAAATCTTTTTCAGCTTTCTTCTTTGGTTTGACTTAATAGCTCTACATTATTTTCCCAATTCATAACGTATTTAGCAGGTTTTGGTCTATGGGTATTTACAGCTGGAACATCTATCATAATGTCTTCCCTTTTACACCCGTATCTTTAAAAAATAACATTAATTCAAAAATTAACCTACAAATTTCAGTACTTACGCAACTGGGGTTAATTTGATTATGTTGTGCAGAGGCACCTCAATGTAAGGAAGTTCGTCTATGCTTTTGTCCAAGAAATAAGCTAAAAGACATCTTAAAACTGCTTGATGGGATACAACCAAAACATTCCCTTGTCTTTCTAGCTCCATGATTACTGGTTCTAAACGAGCAACCAAATCTTCGTAGCTTTCCCCTCCATTGTATCTAAAGTGGAATTTATCTTGGTCACGTTGCTCAAATTGTTCTGGAAATCTTGCAGCTATTTCGGTATAAGACATTAATTCACATTCGCCAGCATTGATTTCATTTAAAGCCTTCCATCTTTCTTGTGGAGCATTAATATCTTTACATGTTTGAATTGATCGTTTCATGCAAGACGTCCAAACACGTAATTCGTTCAATTTTTTTTTATTAATTTTATCTGCTAAAAGTTTTGCGTATTCCTGACCTCTTAAACTGAGATTGCCATCGCCACCGATCAAACCTATAAAATTTTGACAAATATTATAGCGAACAATTTCTGGAATTCAGAGCTAACCTTTGACGTTTTCTTCACTCTCACCATGTCTTGTAAAATAAATTGATCTTGGAGTTATATGAATATTCATTAGGAAATAAACAACACGAGATTGTAAATGTCCTCTACTGTTATACACAACAACTTTTTTACCCGTATCGAATATTTTCATAAATGATAAATGTGATTCGATAGTTTCGTCAAGAGTTTGATATTTTTCTTGGTAGTGTGATATTCTTTGCTGAAAATCATCTAAGATTAATTTCTCAACTTCCCCTTTATCCTTTTTTTGCTTTTTCATTTCTAAATAATCTGGACTATTGATTTTTACTTCTATTATATTTTGTTCTATTATTTGTGGATCATTACAAACGGATTCAACAAAAAATAATTTCAAACCATTTTTTCTTACAACAATGTCGTAAATCAATTCCCTTCGTTCCAAAGTTGAATTTGTGGCGTCAAAAACAGCAACATTTCCTTTCTTATTTTTTATCCAATCACATGCATCATCAAGAGCAACCAGTGCACATTTATTTCTAATTGCCATTGCTTGCACATTGTCAGCACGAAAGAAGTCATGATTTTGATAATCTCCTGCGACGTGTCTTCTGTATTCCCCCAAATTAAAAACCTTTGTGTTTATTCCAATCCATGCTAAATATCTAGTCAATTTTTTAGCAATGTAGGTTTTTCCTCGAGCTGGAAGTCCAACCTTAAAATACCCAATAAGATAAATTTTAAAATATAGAAATTCTATACCATTGCAATAACATGCGGTGTGATTACGCTGTCATCATTAATAGCTACACGCTCATCTCTAGTTGGGAAACTTTTCGTCATACTTTTGGAAAGTGGAGGTTCAATAACTATCGGTATTTGTTGACCCTTAACAGGATTTTGTGTTATTGATGATGTACATATTTCTGTTGCATCAACGTCGTTTCCTTCCAAACCATCAAAATTTTCGCTCATTATTTAATATTACTATGAAACAAATTTTCTAATTTTATTGCATTTTGGTCTTTTTATAAGATTTTATATTATCAATTATCTTGCTTTATAATATAAATTTCAAACGAAAATTTGAAAAAAATTTCAAGGTCTGCTATGAATATTACACTGAACACTTTAAGACACTAGCAGAGATAAGATATTTTTATTTCCTAGCTGACACGAACATACGATTAATAAATTGGTGTCATGCGTATGGGAAATGCCTATAGCGTCTCATAGAGCGTCAATCATTGCAAAAAAAAAAATTGTTATTATATCAAAAAACAGATGTCATTGTACTATTTAGAAAGAAAATTAAGTTCATAATCAGGCCGGTCGTTTGGCTCCAATCGGAGCCATTTAGCTTCGATTTGAAAATTTGTTTCCCCGGCTCCTCCTTTTGCATTTTGGCTCCGATTTTGTTTTTTCCTCAGTCAGACCCAAAAATAATATTGACAATTTTTCTTAAAAAAATTTTTCGATTGAAAAATATAATTTGTAAATAAAAAAAAGCTTTTTTCCATATTAAAAATTCGTTGACATTACCTTGGCTAACGAAATTATGTACATATACCTTGTTCTGCTAATTTTAAAGCCGCTACTTATCTTTTTGTAGTCAAGTTAATCAATTAGTCAATTATGGTGTCAAACAACCAAATTTAGGAAAATTCGTCTACGTTAGCAGATGAAATATGTTTGTATAGAATTTTTTCAATAGACCATAATATTGCCATTTTGACATTTTCGAGTATATTGCTGAAAATTGGAAAAGTTTATTCAAAGCTCCCTCAGTTTAGCGCATTGTAAAGCGGCAATGGGCATTCCCTTCTGTTAATTTGATTAAAACTAAATTGAGAAATTCCTTTTATATTGTTAAACAACATTTTAAACAGCTAGGAATCAAGTTGTAATTTTATTAACTTATAGTAAGAAAATTTGAAGTACATATTTTTTTATACCCTACACCTTCGTGAAGCGTAAAATTCTGCGTTGATTTAGACATGTCCGTCCGGCCATGCGATCGCACGATAACTCAAAAACGAATAATGTAATCGATATCAAACTTTCGCAAATTGTTTTTCTTTATTTAAAAATTTTGAAAAATTTTTGATTAACATTAAAACTAATAAAAACAACGGATTTCAATTTACTTAACATTATTGTGGATTTAATTTTTTGATGTTTCTTTCAAAATTTCCTTTGAAAGAGTTTTAAGAAGATATAAGGGTTACATCCTGTATGAATTTATTTTTATTGTTAATTTTACTTTTTACATTTATCAAAAAACTTTCATCAAGAATAAAATTTTTGCTGGATAAATCAAGAATAAGAATTTTATTCATCAAGAATAAAATTTGTTCTTTGCTCGATTATGTATAAAAGAGAAAAAAAAGTATAACGTACATACCTGTGATCATGATTTCACATTTTTCATTTGCAATTTTTTTTCTTTATCTCTGTTTTATTTCAAATGGTATATTTTACAGCTCCACTTGGTTCTCCAAATGCATTAGAACTAATTGCAACAACAAAACAGTTTTCTAATTTTAATAAGAAAGGAAAAAAATGGAAGAATGGAAAAGTGAATAAGAAAAAGAGATTTTGATCATTTTTTTGTATGAAAATTTCTTCATTTTTGAAAAGGGTCGTGAGTTTTTCGAATGTTTAACAACGTTATATTTTTTGCTTCAATGTGGGGTTTACAATTATTCTTATGAATATTAATGCGAATATTTAAGTTCCCGAATGGTAATATTTCCAGACTTTTGGTATTTTTCCAGGCTCTTGGTATTTTTCCAGACTCTTTTGGTATTTTTTCCCTTCAAGTTATTGAACAAAAGCGGACTAAGTGTAGGAGAGTCATTTTGTGATCTCGAAAAGTTCTTAACAATTGGTTAGTAAAGTTTTTCAAGGATTTTTTTTAAAACTACTGAAAAGAATTAATTTCTTTAATAAGTAGTTATTCATATTCTAATAATAAGAAAGTAGTTATCATATTCTGATAGCAAACACTAGATATATAACAACATTTTAAACAATTTTTATGCAAGAATCACACTAATCAATTATTGGAGAGGAAATTGTCTCAAAAAAGCAGTGAAAAATATGTTGCTCTGATTTATGAAAATTCAAATTGTTTCAATTATCACAAAATTTTATTGAATTTTTATTAATTCTTTATAGAAATAAGGGTACGAATTCTTTTAAGAAAGCACTGCATATGGATAAGCCAATATAAAATATAAATACGAAGAAAATAAAGAAGTTTAGTTAAGAATATTCAGTTACTTAGGTTTTAGTTAAAAATATTTTGTTTTTTAATTTTGTAACGTAGTTTTGTAAGTAAGCATTTTAGTATATTTAATATTTATTTAATTTTTATTATATTTAATATTTATTTATATTTATTTAATTTTTTATTTTTAGGAATTATAAATACACGGACGACACTACATCGCGTGATAGTGATTCATTAATACAAGAATATGGCAATTTGTCTTCAAATAATACACACACATATTGCTGGAACCACCCAAAAGTTCGCGAAAATTGGAGAACTGTTTTAGCTGCTGTAACTTTATTGCTAGTCGGAACCGGCCTTGTCATAATGGGCGTATTTTCAGTAGCGGACCCCGCTAGTAGTTCGCAAGGTGTGGTATTTTTTGTAGCAGGTAATTAATTAGAATATTTATTTTTCTTTGCAAATGCCAAGAATCTGTTTTATTTTCAAGGTTTTATTTGTTTTATTCCGGGAGCTTATCATGTTGTCTACATATGGTTAGCAGCAAGAGGTTATCGAGGGTTTGATTTTTATCATTTGCCTTTATTTACATAAAAACAATTTCTTGTATTATTTATTTCAAAACTTATTTAGTTATTTATCGAAATGCAACATAATAGTATGTGTATTTAAAAGAATAAAACTCTTAACCAATTCATTATTTTAAACATTAAAGTCGATAAAGTAATAAAATAAGCTTAAATTAATTGTAATTTTTCGTTGATATGTATAAATTTTTCTATACACAAACACTTTAAAATTATTATAAAATATTTTTTCAAATAATTTATTCTTTAAAATCAAATTTTTTATGTATAGTTTATAAAAACTTTGAAAAATATAAGGCAAAAAATTATAAATAGTTTCAATTTTTATATAATATAAAACACATTCGACTCTCCTACACTTAGTCCGTTCTTGTTAAATAACTTGAATGGAAAAAATTCAAAGAGTCTGGAAATATTAACATTCGGGATCTCAGATATTCGCATTAATATAACATCGTGCAACATTCCAAAGCTCACAACCTTCTTCAAGAATAAAGCCATTTTCATTCAAAAGAATGATCAAAATTTATTTTTCTTAATCACTTTTCCATTCTACCATTTTCCTTTCTTCTCATTAAAATTACAAAATGGAATTGTTGTTGCAATTGGTTGCAATTTATGTGAAGAGCATAGTGAAGCAGGAAAGCACCATTTGGAGTAAAACAGAGATAAAGAAAAAAAAAATTGCGAATGTATGTATACATTTTTTTCTCTTTCATATATTAATTAAATGAGTAATAATAATATATTAATATTATATTTCATGTTTTTTGTAATTGTATGTTTATATTAATTTTAATATAGGTGGATATTTCATATTTAATAACAATAACATAATTTAATTACATAAACAAACAATTATTTTTTCCCTTTTTCTATGAGTTGAAATTGTATTAATTCATGTAAGGATAAGTTTTTCTCTGCGGCAAGTTAACTCAATATAATAAGCACTATCATAAATTCTCCTCGAAGAATTCTACGAATTACAAACTTACCTATGACAGACTTTTAAATTATCACAAATTCTTTTCGTAGAGATAATAAATCAGCAATGGCAACATCGTTTTTCGGAGCGTCAAAATCAGTTTGTATTTTATTTCAATTGTCAAATGTTTATTTATGTTTTTTGTTGCTTTTTGAGTACAAAAGAGTTTTGTAGAACTTCGCTTTGGAAGAATTTAAGTTCAAACAAAAAAATTGAAAACTTAAAAATTTTTAACAACCACTCTCTTTAAATTGCTTGTTACGTGTGAGTATTTCGTAGACTATTGATGGTCATTTTTACTACGAACGTAATTTATGATTATTCTATTACGAATATTGTAATAGCATTTTAGTAATTCCGAATTGAGAATCGTATTTTTGAACGAGATTCATGATAGCGCTGAATGCCTTTATATCTAACAAGCTCCAATGCTAAGAGAGAAACTTTAAAGCACGACCTTGTTTTATTTTATTTATATGGTTTTTCTTTAAGAAGAAATAACAAAGTAAATTCACACAGATAAAATTATAAAGCAGGTACAATTCCGAAATTATATTAATCAAATTACCTAAAAAGAAAAAAAAACAACAAAGAATACAAAATTCACAACAATAACATGATTGTACTTATCTGATGAATTCAATAGGCATCCAACTGCGCAAGTTTTCATCTGAACCTAAAATTGAAGCTACTTGTAAGTTGAAGGAAACTTCAACTTACTTGTTGAATATATTGCAGGTTTGCAATCACTTCAGTCCTGGGTATTTTGGTTCAGCGCAGTCAGTCTTACTTTCGCGGTTGATCTCGTATTTATTTTATATTAATTTTATAATTTTTATGGAACTTTTGTTCCATAATTTTTCTAATTTTGTAAAAAAAAAAACTTTTGAACACTACACCACATTTCACTTGTTTATTTTTTATAAATCAAAGATTGACATTTTGCAGACAAAAAAAGATTTGTTCAATAGCTTTCGTTCAGATGGACCGGTGTTGCCGCATGGCAAAATCGATCAATATAAATCATCTGAGCTATTTGTCAAGTGTGGTGGAGTAAAATAAAAAAGAACGAGCGAATGAAATGAAAAATATATGAAGAGGGTATACATTGTATATAATAATATAGAGTGGTTACAACAACAAATCACGGCGCAGCGTATATAAATTAAATTTTATTTTTAAGTTTAGTGAACTGCGTCATCTGTTCTATCTATTCTGGGCTACGTATATCACCGTTGCACAACCGTTTGGATAAATCTTTTTTGGATCTATAAATAGGATGGAAAATTCCAGATCGAAAACACACAGTATTAGAAAACCCGTCGCATCGAGCTTATGCATTTGAATTTTATGTTTAAATTATATACTTAGCTTATATAAAGTCATAGTCAACGAAAAGTAAATTTTGTTAATGGAATCAATAAATTGTTAATACATGAATTGCAAAGAAAAAAAGGGAAATTGTTTTTTTTTTTATAATTACGCTATATAAGAAAAAAAATATAATAATAACGAGCCGGATATATTAAAAATTCGCGGCATTAAAAAAAACAAAAGGGGAGAAGAAAGACAAAAAAAAAACTAGACATAAAAGTAGTGTAGTGTAAGAGAAGAGCTTTTTTTCTCATGGGATACGTTAAACTAATGTCTTTATATCTAACAAGTCCCAATGCTCAGAGAGAAACTTGAAAGCACGACCTTATTTTATAAGGCCTTTTTTAAATCGAAGTGGCTATTTTTTTGAGAAGAAATATTAAAATAAATTCACACTTATTATAAAGCAGGTAAAATTTAGAAATTATATTTGAAAAATCAAAAAAATATATTAATATTTTCATAGATAATTATTTTAAAATTTAAAAAAAAGCGGAAAAACAACAAGCACATCCTTCGCCTTCAACGTTTTATATGTTACTGAAAGCATTTTATTATTTTTAAGTGAACAGCTTTTTTTTCTAATAGGGTAAGCTAACTCAAGATATGGGAAGTAACTGTAGTGTCTAGTTGAAAATATAATTAATGAAAGATAATTCTTAAATATTGATATAAATACATAGTAAAGAAAAAATTTGAAGAGGGAATTAGAAAATAATATCTAAAATACAATCAAATACTATTTGTTAAATACAAATTTTGAAGTTTAATTTTACCTCTATTTTTATTTGAAAAAATATTAAAAACTTACTATTATTTATATCAATTACCTAAGAAAAAAAAATATTTAAAATGTTTGGAAAAAACAATCATATATTTTTATGACCGGATTTGAATATTTTTTTATTTTTGAAATAAATGGTATTTTACCAAATGACTCAAAAATTCCGACTGTAAAATAACAGGTATTTTAAAATTTTTGTTTTTTATGTAATATTCTTTCCGTTTAGAATTAAAATAGGTCATACATACACATGCAGGGACATTTTATAAATAGATTGCTTTTGTTTACCTGCTAATAAAATATGAAAAAAGAGCACAGCAAAATTTTTGAAGCACTCAATATAACATGTTTGAAATAGTTTTAAAATAATTATTTAAAAAAATTTATTGGAAGTAGGCACATACATATTTATTTTTAATAACTTAAAAACTAACTGAAATTATTTGAAACAATTTTATAAGTAACGTATAAATAACCGAAATGAGATAATTAAAATTGTTGAAATGTGTCAACCTATATTACTTTTAATAACATTTTTGTTAGCCGACACTACTCAACTTACCTTATTGGGAAATACAAAATGTGCATAAAAAATCATACATCCTTCTTCATTAACATTTGAAACCATACTGAAATATGAATTTGAAATTTTTTTTCATTTTTTCTTTCCTCCTACCTTTCTTTCTTTTTCGTGCAATAGAATTTAAATAGGAAGCTTTTTAAAAAATGTGTATAATATCCTGAGATTTTTTAAAATATTAAACTCTTTTTTACTTAAAAAAAAAGAAAAAAATAATAAAAAATATGACACGATTAGTGGCATTTAAAGAAAAAACCAACAAAATTCGTAATATTTCGTAAAAAAAATTGAGTATTGGGACTTGTTAGATATAAAGACCATTAGTTAAACTCAAGATATGGAAAGTAACTTTAGTGTCAAGTTGAAAATATATTTAATAATTATTAATATTAAATAAATTAAATATTTTAAATATTTTAATAATTATTAAATATTGATATAAATATTTAAAAAAGTAAAGAAATTATTATTACTAGGATTATTTATTACTTAGACATAGTAAAGAAAAAATATGAGGGGGGAATCTGAAAATAATATCTAAAATACAATTAAATATTATTTCACCAATAAAAATTTTATTACACATCAAAACTTAACCTCTATTTTTATTTGAGACAAGATTTTAAAAAATTAATATATTACCAGAAACAAATAATTTAATATATATGTATTATCAGAATTAACTTAATATATTTTCAGAAACTTAGAAATTCATACAAAAAAACGTCAACATTTTATTTTTCGACTTTTCAACTTTTTAAATTCTTTTTTTCAAGTTTTTGGATGAGTTTTTTACTTTTCAGTTTTTAAGAAAAATATACTGAAAATTACAAAATATATAAAAAATTCAAATAGGTGCAGAAACCAAATAGTGAACCAATGAAAACTTCTGACTTGAACCAATATCCTTTTTAAAAAACTGAAAAATTGAAATTTGCCTTAAAAAAAATTTAATAAAAAGCATTTTTATGTGTGCGTGTATTTATGAAAAATATAAACAAAAATACATATATTTTTGTTAGAAATACACATTACCCCATACTTATAATAAATACATAATTCAAAAATTTTCCAAAAATTAAAAAAATTTTTAAATCTTGAAATCATATTGTTCAGTTCATATGATTTTATTTTTTTCAAAACAACACTGTTTTTTTTATTATTAAAAGTACATATTTTGTTTTATTAAAATGTGTACATATTAAGAGCAGTGTCAGTTAATATGTAAACATTGTATCATAATATGTGCAGGCAGGCATTTACACATAGATCTAACAAAATTAATAAAGTTGGTTCAACCTTTAAATGGTTTTCAAAGTAGCAATATAAACACAAGAAATAAAAAAAATAATGAAATTATCAAAACAATTGGTGTTTTTTTAGTTCGTATTAGTCAAAGTATATCTACCAAGAGGTAATTCGACTCGTTCCATTCCGTTATTTTTCGTTTGCTTGCTACTTCCAAAACAAAGTATATCTACTAATAAGTAGTTCGACTCTTCGTTTACATCACATTAATGCAATCACTCACCAATTTTCATTTTTATGTACATAAGAATTTTTAAGAGAAGGAAAGAGTACGCAATAGATGTCTACCTGTTTTTTTATAATGTATTTTTAAAAGCAGGAGTTGTTTATTTTTCCTTATATAAAGTATAGGAAAAAATATTAAGAATCTTAAAGGCCGTAGTTTTATTTTTGTAACTTATTCCAGTAAAAGGTGCCAAAAAAGGTGTATTCATAAGGTGTAGTCATAAAGTTGTTACAAATTAAAAATGAAGTATTTTTAATTTGTAACAACTTTAAATTTTTATTTTGTGGCCTGTGACAAATATAATTTAATCAATTATCTACTAATGTTAAGATTTTAACAATTTAAATAAGTATGCAATTTAATCTCTAATAAAATAAAATTGAAAAATTTTGTGTAATTTAGGTGAATACATAGGTAGATTTATGTGATAAAATTTATTGATTTTTTCATCAAAAATTGCTAGTTTTAAGGAAAAAAGATTAAAAATTTTATTTTTTTTTGTCAATATGTCACGTAGTTTTTTCAAAAACAATTTTGTTATGTATTTACTATTTTGGTTTTAGCTGAAAAATATTTTGTTACCTGTTATTTATTGTAATGTAATTTGTTACCTATAATTAGTAACTAGTAATCAAAATAAAATAATTTCTGCATATATTTTTTGTATATAATCGTTCTTTATTTTTCAAACATCCCAAAACACCATGAACATTTCTGATTTATTGGAAAATACATCATTTAAGAATATGTTTCTTAACAAAAAGTATGATGATCAACTTTGAATACACCGCATGCATGTATTATAAATACATTTGTATTACGGTACAGTTATCTTTATATAGATTATAGGAGTTCATGATTACGGAGTCTTGAGAATAAAGATGGCTGGGTTAACAGCATCGTGATCAGCTATTTATTGAGAAGTTTGTTTCTTTTTTAAATTTTTTTTATTGTATTGCGAAGTTGTTGAAAATAGCTCAAAAAAATTATAAGTGGCCGGCAATTTAAATGAATTTATTAAATTTTTTGAAAAAAAAAAAAAAGAGCATGGAATATGAACTTGTGGAAGATAAAATCAATATAGTATGGAGCTTGTGGGATATAAAATCAAAAGATTAAAAAAATACCATGAAAAACAGACTTTTTTCTATTTCCATTTTTTTTTTATTAATTTTCTTAGTATTTAAAAATTATTGTACTCGTATATATGAATAAACGAATTAGAAATACTAAACGAAGGAGCATCTTTATTTCTATCTCGTTTACACTTCTTAAAAAATTTACTTTGCTCCTAGTATTGTCAAACTTAAATTAACATTAAATGCCTTATGTTGTTATTTTTCTTAGAAAATTACGCGCCGCTATATAAAAAGTAAACAAAGAAGATTTTGCCATCTTTTTTATGAAATTAGTGCAGTTTTTAAATAAAAAATTGTAAAATATTTAATAATATTTAATACTTATTATTAAATATTTTACAATTTTTAAATTAATAAAAGAATACTATTTTCAGAAAAAAATATAACAAGTGAAAAAATGAAAAAAATCTGTTGAAAAAGAAAAAGGAGTATAGAAAAGGAAAAGGTGTTCTAAATTGCTATTCCCATTTGCAAAAACAAATAATTTTATTACAACATATACATGTGAATATTATTCATTTCAATAATTAAAAAATATTTATTCAACAGTGCTTTGATCAATTTATAATTTGATTTTATTAAGTTTTGCAAAGAAAACATCTGCTTTTGTTTTGTTCTAAATTAAAATTATTTTGAATGACATAATTTCACCAGGACCGGATTTTTTTTCTAAGCAAAATTAGTTTGTGTTTGACAAAATATAGCAAACATACAATATTTTAATTTGGTCTTTTATTTTTGTATAATTACAGTTTTCTTAGAAGTAATGAAATGAAATGAAAGTGAATTGGAATTATTAATTAAGAAGTTTGCATTTCAAATATTTTAACAAAATTTATAATTCATAAAATAAATTTATTCAAAGAAAAAAAAAGAGTTTTGTTTAAATATAATTTTTTTTACAGATTTTTAAAATAAAAAAATATTTTGAAATATATTTTAGTTCTTACTTTAAAAAAAATTTTTAACTTACCCTTATCTTACAAAAAATAGATAATTTGTAATAGAGGCCAGATAAAAAAATAAAATAAATAAGCTCTTGTTACGACTTTGATAATGGTCGGACCAAAGAAAGAGACAACTAGAAAAAATTTGGCTTTGTTTTTTCAAGATACTCCTTCCTTTAGTATTTCTAATTCGTTGATATGAATAACTTAATAATTATTGTTTTTTCTTATTACCATCACCTTTAAGTAATCGTCTTTCAGGTCGTTATATATAGCTTCCGTCCACTTTCAGTATAAGGAAAGTGTCGATTTTGGTACACTAAAAGATATTCCAATGATATATAGGAAGTACCATTGGCCTAATATCTTAGGGTACTTGCCAATTTCAGCTCAGTAGAAATCGTTTCTATGGACTGGTTTCCCGGCTTTTTTATTTTATTTTCAATCTAGAAAAAACAAAAGATGTTTAAAGTTTATTTTCGAAAACTAAATTATTTAAAATACAAACCAGGCTATGTAGAAATTCAAATGTATAATTTTTGTTCCTGGTAAAATTTTAAAAACATGACTCGCCATAATCTAGCAGATCAGACAGTAATTTGGTTTTGACATCAAAAAAGAATTTTTTGAGCAGGATTTTACCCATGAGAAGGATTTTACCCATATTTTCTTTTCCCAGCTTCGAATTGTTCATCGATGAGACAGACCAAAATTTGACTTTCTGATTTGACATCTTGACTATATTATATGCTACATCTGATTTTTAATTTTTTTTTGTTTTTTCAATTAGTTACTCTCACTTTGGTACATACTATGGATATACTTCGATAGGGTAATTTAAATTTGACTTAATTTAAAAAAAAATTCACCAGATCGTCAAATAATACTATATGTGTTAACAGGTTTCCATTCCAATTTCATTGTTGTCAAATTTGATCGTCACACTTTTCTTGACGTACATACGATCCGTGACCTCAATAATGCGCTTAATACGTAAACATTACAAAGTATCACATTCTAAAAAGTTTAGTAAAAAGTGTACACTTAGGCATTGTACACTTTTCCTAAATGCACTCTATAAGTAGTGGATACGTAAAACAAAAGTAAATGGGGTATTGAAAAAATCGAGTACGCATATCATATAAATATTGCCAGAAATAACCAACTAAATAAAGTAGCATATATTTTCAGTAATAAAGTGCTAGTTATAAAATTTTTTCCCAAAATGCAGCATAAAATTGCTATATTTTTAATGGAGTGGTAACGTTAGTTAAAAATTAACATTTGCACAGAGCTTTAAATTGAAATTTTAAAGAAAACGTCAAAGTATGTATTAATAATGCAAAAATTGTGTTTCAAAATGTATCAAAGGCTTTAGCATTTTTTTTACAATGAAAAGGTATTGAGAGCTCTAAGACGGTAGTACAATCGTAATAATACCGTACTTAAACTTTTTATAAAGCATTATTGAAGTCACGAATTCCGTTCTCAAACAGAGTCGATTTATGATTGATTTCTAAATTTACATCGTACTGAAATGTCCATTAATATGTAGCTATTGAAAAAAATTTATTAAGCCTAAAAAATATAGGTAAAGACATATCTTATATAAGAAAGTAGTGCATTCCTTTTTTTCTCTCCTTTTCCCTCCAATGAAATTTTCTTTCTTTCTTTCTTTTCTTTTCTTTTTTTTAAAAAACAAGTTTGTTAACTTATATGGCTTTGATAAATCTTAAAATATTAAGATATTATCGCAATGTCAAGGTTTTGGCGAAACAAATGAAAATTAAAAGGGCAAGTACTGGAACAGAATCTAAAAAAAAACTTGGGCTTTTTCGATATTGCATAAAGAGCTGGAAGTTCCTAATTAGAATTAAAAAAGTTTATTTGCAATATTTGAAGTATTACAAAGTTTGACGCTAAAACTTTTGTGTTAATTAATCAATTTAAAATAAAGAATTAAAAAGAAATAGAGTCCGAATTTATTTCAAATTTGTTGAAAACGCAAATATTTCAGGGCATAAATGAAAAAAAAGTTAAATTTCAAATTCAAAACTTATTTTAGTAAATCTTTAATGCCATTTTAATGTTCAAAACTTTTTTGCAATGAAATTTTTTAAACGGCTCATATGGTAAAGCTTGTTTCAAACATTATTTGCATCATTAGCTACAAAACAGTTCAAAATCGAACACTGGAAATTTGTAATTCTTCAATGAAAAACATACTGCTTGCCAAATCTAATTAAGAAGTGAAATACCAAAAATGTGCTTTTATATTATATGTATGAACGAAAATTAGAACTGAGATAAAGAAACAAAAAAAAAACTAGAATTTATTTTTTAAAATATGTATTGTGATTTTGACATAATACAGATTGTGTTCCTCAGCATTGAAGCGCTGACTCATTGTTTGATGTGAACACTGTGTAAGTAATATTGAACATTTTTATATCGTTCAAATGAAATGAATGCACTAAATAAATTGTTTTCGTTTTAGTTTTCGTTTTCTGTCGTCAGCTTTAATCCTACAAAGCCATATCATGAGTTATATATATGGACTGTCACAAATGGCTGATGTAGAAAAAGAAGAAGCTCGGAATTTGGTAACTAAATTGATTTTCCATATTGGTAGATTAGATTTTTTTAAACCTTTAAATAATTTTTTTTTTAAAAAATTAGTGATTTATCCAAAAAAGTTAAAAAAATATCAATAGATATTTTTAATAATAATCAATTCTTACTTATATGTATGTTTATGTTTTTAGCAAATTGAATTTGAATGGGTGCTGAAAAATGAAGTGCATTCTAGTTTAAGGGAAATTCGAAACATATTAATAGTATGTGTTAATTGGATTTTACAGTATAGTGATGAATATTTTAATGCTTTTAGGAATGTGCTCATCGCTTTCCCGTACCTCTTTATGAAAATGAGGGCAAAAAACAAGATAAATTTGTATTAACTGCTCCTCAAGATCAGTTAAAATGTGCAGTAACATTAACTGGCGATAGTATCACCCAAGCTGTAGGTTTTAACAGTGAAAAATTTTAAAGATACTATACAACTAATTATGCAACATCTAATTTTTATTTGTTTTTAGGATATAAGTTTTAAACTTCAAAGAGCACCCCATTTAATTCAAAGGACGTCCATTACTGAGGACTCGCCCTGGAAACTTCAACAGGTACAGGATGCCGCTAACCATTTGCAACAAGCCATTTATCACATTGACAATGTTGATCAATCTTACCCATTTAAGTATATTCTAGTATATTTTAAATGAAACAAAAAAAAAAAAAAATATTTCAGAACATCAGATGAAGTGCTTCATATATTGGGAAATATTTTGAGTGCCTTGCAGCGCGGAAGGTCTAGTTTGGTTATTCCAAAAAAAAAGCCCATTGATGAGTTAATGAAAAGTAGAAACATGGTAATTCCAATGCCGAATTTATCATTCAAGTTATAACATTTTAAGTTTTTTTTGTAGAAATCTTTGTCTCCAAATTTAACGGAAGATTTAGCAATTAGTTTTTACTTACAAAGTCATAAATTAATTTTTGCCGTATATCAGCTAACAAATATTCAAGGGCAGATGAAATTTGATTCTTGTCAGGCTGAGCATTCGGTTCCATGGCTAAATGAAGTGTTAATACTATTCACGGTTGCATTGCAATTTTGCCAACAGCTTAAAGACAAAGTAAGAAAAAATGGCTTGTATATTGCGTAATCAATATGTGTATCTTTTTTTTAGATAAATGTATTTTCTTTATATAAGGATTTTACTGTAGAAACGATTGATCATGTTAAAATACCTAGTCCCGATTCTCCAACAATTCAAATTAACTGATTTATATTGCCTTAAAATGAACTTAACGTTAATTTTTTTAAAACCTAGTATTAGAAGTAACATTAAATTTGGAATAGCTGCACGAGCTTTGAAGTAAAAGTGTTAACGTGGAATAAAAAAAAAACATTTAATTCAGTTTCGGAAAAACCACCTCAAGAAGGGGTTTGGTCAATAAATTTCTGTAGCCAAAATTCCAAGGCTTTCCGAAAAATGAAAGAGCAATTAATTTGGTAATTTATTCCTATAATGAATATACTAGCTTTTAATTTTTATTCTTGAAGAAAAAAACATTTTTTTAAAATTAAGTTGTAAAACATTAGTTTTTGAAACTGTTGAACTTTAATTATATTTCAAAAATTCGTTTACATTAGCAAGCAACATTCAACTTCTAAAATTAAGGAATACGGTAACAATACAGAATTCTGCAATTACACTAAACTGATTTATGTATTAATATTAGTTTACAGCATTGTCGAATTCAAGAAATATGTTTTTATGAAAGTAATTTTAATATAACTCACACTTTATATAATAAAAATGGAAGCATTTTTTTCGTTTTTGTTAATTATCGAATGTGTAATCTTAGTATGTATTAAACATTCTTACCGAGATTTAATTATTTTGCGAAGTATTTCGAAATAATAAAAACTTATAAAAGGAATGCTTAATGTTTTATACTTTTAAGTATTTCGATTAAAAAATCATCTTTTATTAAATGTTCGACTATTTTCGTTTTATTTATTAGATAATTATCTAAGTTCTCGAGATACTCGATAATTATTTCTCGAGATTCTAGAGAAAAAAATTTATGGAAACAAAAAATTAATTACACAAAGTACTTTATATTTTAATTCACCTATTCTTTTCAGAAAAAAAGTAACAAAAAAAGTTTATAATAAGAATGAAAGAACAGCAAAATATAATAACGAAATCAAAAAAATTCAATTTTGTAACAAAAAGAAATAATACAAAATCTAATTAAATTGATGTAGGTATATCATTTCAATTCGTATTTTGAACTTCTGACTAAAATTTTTGACTAAAGTGAACTATGTGCTTCATACTTGCCGTATAACCAAATCCCGTACAGATTTTTATTAAAAAATCAGTAAAATGTATTAGAAATGTCGTATTTCGAGGAAAAGAATTAATTAGAAGAAAAAATTGATTGAAGTTACATTTATTTTTTGTTTAAATTGTTGAATCAAAAATTAAAAAAAAAAAAACAAGAAATAAAGAGTTTTCTCTGTAATTTAGTACTCTTCTATTTCTATTTAGTACTCTTCTCTTCTGTTCTCTGTACGTTAAAGTTTGCAAGTTTTTTTTTGAATGCATTTTCCATTATTTTAAAATTTAAAAAAAAAAAAATCAGAAAATTTATGTAATGTAAAAAAATAATATAAAACGAATATTCCTGGAATAAAGCTGTTTCCACATAATTATTTTAACAAAATTTTACATTTTCTATGTGTATGCACATACGTACATGCATAAAACATGTTGTATTATTTTTTCTATGACTTGCTAATGTAATTGTGGAATAAAAACTGAAATTGGTTAAAGAGTTAGTTGTTCATAATTTTTAAAACACTCAAGATTTTTAAATAGTTAACTATTAAGTTTTCAGAATGTTTTAGAAAAAATCTTTTGCTTGAATCTAATATTATGTTTTGAAAATATTCAACATAATGTATGCATAAGTATACTGCGTTGATTACTTTCATATCAATAAAAATAAAATATCCGTGTCTATACTTACATATGTATGTTTAAAATTTTTTTTTAATTTAAAAAATTAAAGCACAATATGTGACAATAAAAAATCTTGTTAAACTGTGCAAAATTTCTTATAGTTACTACGTTGTTAATTTTTTGACCTTTGTTACGTATTCTTAAAATACAAAACAAGGAAAAATGTATGTTGAAATGTACTTAATCTTAAAAAAATATATTTTATTAGTTCATAAATGCAAAAAAAATGAAAAATAGTTATGTAATTATAATATCTATTCAAACGTATTTCATTCAAAAATTCATAAATTTTAATGTAAGTGATAAATTAGAATAGATCAGGTTAGAGTTTCATTAAAAGTTGAATTTACAATGAATTATTGATATTTTAAATTTATGTAAATAAAAATAAAATTTAACAAAATTTTATTTGGATAATATATTCGCAATTATGTATATAAAAATCTTCCTGTATGTGTGACAGATGATGTAGACCTTAATTTTGGTAAATATAAACAGAAAAGCAAATAATAGGATTAAGTAATTTCTATTTCATGAGCAGTGTTCATAAATTAAAACATAAAACTGATACATGGGGATGTATTATGTACGTATGTATATGTATTTTTAAAACAATATCTATATAACTTTCATATCGTCGGCAAAGCTGTGATACCAAATACGTTCAAATATTTCCAAAAGTACTTTACTAACTTTCTATTTAGGAAATGTCAAATAGTCCTTCTTTTAAATTTATGAAAGGGTAAACTAATAAATAATTACACATTTTTTACATAATTTTCATATTTTCATAAATTTAAAAGATGTATTTGAGATTTTCTAAAAAGCAAATAAGTAAATTATTTTTGGAAATTTTTGCACAAACGTGGTATTTGACGAATGACTTGAATTTTGGTAGTAAAATTATTTCCCGTTTAATAAACCACATACTTCAAATTTAATTTTGAATACTATACTTGAGGGAAATTATTACTGAAAATTCTTGAACAAATTTTATTGCAAGTTTTTGAAACTTAATTTTAAATTGAAATTTGTCAATACAAAATAAATGTAAATGATCTAAAAACAAAATTTGATCTGCAAGATAGTTGTACCTATAAACAAACATATGTAAGCGTATTTTATGTATTTAAATAATGTAGGTACAGATATTCTTATGTACAAGTTTTTATGTTAACAATTCACATTATTATTTAATTCAATTGAAATAATAAAAGCAATTTAAAGTAAAAAGGAAATCACTTTAATTTTAACCGAAAAAAGGACTTATTTCTTTAAAATTAGAAAATGCAAATGATACTGTAATTTATGTGGAGAATATTCCATTTGGAACAAAAAGGAGCTGAAGAAAGCCCTTATTATGATCTGTGAAGCGAATGAAATTTTTGGCGAATATGAATTTTTGGTATTAATATTAGCGAATTCCCCTAAATTTTAGGCGAATGAGCTGTTAAATATGTCGAACGAAAATTCTTTGATACAAGCTTGGCGAATGATATCAAAAATCAACATAATTCATGAGCGTTTTTTTTGTTGGATATTATAGCATTTCAGTCATATAATGAAAAAATCTAAACGTCCTGTGAATTAAAAACAATTTGAGCATTTTATTAAATTTTTGGCGAACAACCCCGTAATTGGTAAAGATAGGAAAATTAAATTATTTTTGTAAAAAAGCAAAAGCAATGTACATTGTACGTGTGGTGTTAAATTTATTATTTTCGGTAGGTTTTTTGATGTGTTGGCAAAGCATTCGCCGATCATAATTTAAAATGTCATTCGATTCGTGTAGTCCATTCGACTCGCCCAGCCATTCGCTTCGGCGATAACAATAAGGGTAGAAAAAAAAAATCACATTCATTTGCAAATGGTAAAAATTTGTAAATAAAAATCTTAACCAACGTATTAGAAATACTAAAGGAAAGAGCATCTTTGTTTCTACCTCGCTTACACTCCCCAAAAAAAAAGTCTCTTTCTTTGAATTATCAAACTGAAATTGTTATTAAATGCCAACTGTTTTGTTGGATAAGTACAACGTGCTTGTATAAATAGTAAACAAAAAAAAATTGTGATTTTAGTTATAACGTTGTGAAAAAAATTAAAAAAAAATCTTAAAAATACATTTTTGTAATAAAAAAGTTTATAAAAAAAAATTGTAGAATACAAAAAAAAAAAAAAACTTTGCAAGAAAGATGCGCATAGTTCCAAATTGTTTTCATTTCACAAACGGAAGTTTCCCATCATATGTATATGAATATTATTTATTTTGTTAATTTAAAGAAATATTTATTCAATAGTTTTAAATTTAATTTGTAATTCGTAAATGGGTTTGTTCGGAATCATCAAATAAAAGTTGTACTATTTCGTCAAAATCAAAAAAAATTAAATTTCAATTTAATTCTTGATGCAATGTATTACTTTTTTTAAACACATTGTATTATTTTACATAATGCGTTATATATCTACCAGCCCACCAAGCTCACAGAGTAAATGAAAAATAAATTTCAAATGTATAGAGTTTAAATGGAAGGGGTGTCGGAAATTATTTGTGTAAAGGAAATTGATCAATATTTTTAGCTCTACTGATTCTACATATTTTTTTAAATTTAAAATTTAAGTTTCAAAAGAATCGGTTGGTAAATTCCATCTGAAAAATGCGTCTGAAATCTGTATTTTTTTTTAAATTCAAAAATTCGCAAAATAATTTCAGCTTGATGGCCTGATATATAGCATTAACTTCACATTTAAACTTAAAATTGTTGATTATGCCAGTCACTTTCATTTTCTTAAACTAAAAGAACACTTGGAAATCTTGATGCATTGTATTATTTCACTCCATTGCTTACTTTAATAAGAAAATTTTTTGTTTCAATTTATTCTAATTTTAGACTTCTATTTACATTTAATTTTAATTTCTACTTACAACTTAAATAAATATATAAAAAAGCATATGTATGTACCAAAAAAATTTTGGATACGCAATTTGACAAATATTTAATTGTAAACAACGTCGCAGATACAACATCAAATAAATTCTGAACATAACACATTACAATTTTCATATAATTTTTTGTTGATAATTCAGAAGATTATACAATGTGTCTGATTATGGTAGATGCAATTGCGAAGATACCCAATTTCTTAAGTTTTTATTGTTGGAAAGAAACATTTTGTTTTTTTTTATACTAAAATTACTTGGAATGACATAATTTTACCAGAACTGGACTTTTCTTCTAAGCAGAATTAGTTTGTGTTTGATAAAAGGTAGCACACATATATTTTAAATTGATCTTCTTTTTATGTAATTACAGTTATCCTGGAAATGATGAAATAAAAAGAAAATTGATTGAAAGAAGTTTTCATTTTAAATATTTTACCAAAAAGTATTATATGTATGTATAAAAGTTTTTGAACCAAAATGTAAAAATAAAGTATGTGGTAAAATTTATTTAGCGCCAAAGGCGGTACGTATGTATGTATGTACGAAAAATATTAGTGCCAATTATTTTTAAAATACATATGTATTTATTTGTAGAATAAATAGGTATGAGAAGGTCAATTACTTAATGTGGTCAATTACTTAAATGGGCAATAAAGAAAATATAAATTAAAATTTGTTCAAAAGTATATAGTTTAAGAGCCATTTTGTACCTGAAATTCTACCGAACGCTTCAATGCATCCCAATTGTAACAACGTCCCACATGTATAAACGTTTTGCTTTGCAAATAGCGCGACAACACAAAATATAAAAAAAAATGTTCAGTTCAAGGGCAGTAAGATGTTGTAATTCCTATTTATAAAGCAAATTTATTCAAATAGAAAATGAAATTAATGTTTTGTTTAAATTTGATTTTTTTACAGATACCGTGATTTCAAAAATGCGCTTACGACGTAAATTTTAAAAATATCAAATTCCAAAAAGTTTAGTAAAAGCCCTTGTCATTGTACACTTTTCCTAAATGCGTTTTATACGTAGTCGAGACGTAAAATAAATCGGGTATTGAAAAAATCGAGCACGCTTTTCTTATACCTTGTCATATAAATGTTGTCAACCTTGTCATATAAAGTTCTAGTTATCAAGTTTTTTTTCCTAAAATTCCTTCAAGGTGCTCCTTCTTTTAATATTTCTAATTCGTTTTTTATCTGACCATTGGTGCAGTGGTTATGGCACCGGTCCTTTAACCGAAGGGTCTCGGGTTCAAACCCCGGTCAGGTCACTATAAAAATTATATTCAATATTATTATAACTTAATATACAATACTAATAAATATTATACAAGTAATTTTCAAATATTCGTAATATTCCATATTAAAAAAAAAACTAAGAAAAATAAACAGTAAATATTAATAACCTCAAATAATTAATATAAATAAAACTACGGCAGATTAGTCACCTACCTAGTTAAACTCTATGACGCTATGAAACTAGTGCATGAGAAATCATGCACTAGCCCTATGCTCCTTCTAGGAGTGAATAAGGAAAAAAAAAAAAAAAAAAAAAAAATTCGTTTTTTAGGTTACCTTAAGAATACATTATATATTTAAGGAGTATTTAAAAATGGGAACTCAACTTTTTTTCAATTTTGGACGGCAAATATTTTCACACTACCAGTCTAGGCTTTATATAAGCTGATTTTTGTTTTTTTAAGTTTCCTATTTAAAGCATATGCTCTAAAAAGGTTGGCATAGAGGTATAAAATAAACCTCATGCATATACATATGTACATAACCTAGTCTTATGTGTAACTTGCATCTTAGAAAAAATTCAAGCATTACATAAACATGTAGTTACATTTCTTCTTTCTAGAATTAATTCTGTATTAGGTGACTCTTACACAGCTGATGAAAATCTGGTGTCAGACGTAAAATCGAAGTTTGACATTAGATAAGATCTGATGAGAAAAATGGAAGGTCTGTCTGGAATAGGAAAGTTTTTAAAAACTTTATAAAATTTGAAAAAACTTCATAAAGTTTTTAGATGCAAAGCGTCTGGGATAGTGAGAAAAAATAATGAAGTTTTCATTTTCTCAATGTTTAAATTTTTTCATCAACAATCATTTTTTTCAAAACTTTTTATTTAAAAATAAAATAAATAAAATATTACCAAAAAATTTTGCATTACCAAAAAATTTTTGTTTTGAATAAATAACCAATGAATATTTTGAAATTTGATGTTTATCACCTAATTATAAAGTTTTTACAACTTTTCCGCGTGGTTTATTTTTTTTCGTCATTCTTTCTCTTTTTAAAGTTTTTTCAAGTTTTCAATAGATTTTCTTTCAAATTTTTAAAAATGACATGGTGGAAAATAAATTTTGCCATGTCAGTTTATAGACTACTAATATTGACGCCAGTTTCCATTTATCGTTAATTTAGTCTGATGTGTGACCGTCACTTTAATGCAAATTGATTTTGTTTACTTTGTTAGCTCTGTACATAAATATATTAAGTGATTCGCTTCTAACGTACTTTTTATAAGTATTTATCTATATATATATATATATATATATATATATGTATATGACAAAATCTTAGATTTAATGAGTCTGGTTAAAGTTGTATAATATGTAGTCTGTTTGAGACCGAACTTTACCTGACGCTTGCAAATTAACTTCGTAATTTTTAGCACTTTTCCAAAAAAATTTTGAAAAAAGTGCTTATTACTTTCACTTATCCTTCCATCGTTCGTTTGTCCGTGTGTCTGTTTAGAAAACTTTATACCCTTGAAAAAAGAAAACTGAATTTTCATACGCATCTTTAGTAGATAAATATTTCTGTAGAAGAAAATTTTTACCTGTATTTCCCCTCTAAAAGTTATAGCACTTTAAAGATCTAAAAATGTCATTTTTTAATTAATTATTATAGGAAAACCAGAAGTATTTTTTAAATTTTGCAAAAGCAGAAATAAGTGGCTGGCTAAAATTTAGGAGTCTGAAATTTAGTAGCTCTTAGATATTCATAAATAGTTAATTTAGTTAGAAGAAAATTATTTTCCACATCTACCCTTTCCCAAGTTATCGCCTCCAGAAATTTCTAAAATTTGAATTTTCGCCACCTTATATTTCCGAAACAGCAAGCTTTTCCAAAGTTTTATAAATGCAGAAAGCTAACGGTAAATGCCATGCTATTAAAAAATATATTTTTTTTTAATTCGGGAAATTAACCCTTAATTTCAAGCATTATGTTAAACCTCTTTAAATTTTTTTTTTGTTTTAGTTTGGAAAAAATTGCATGCATTGCTCATCCTAAATGTATGCAATCTTTGAAATATATTCGTATATGAATGAAACTAGTTTCAATAATGTAGTGCAGAAATTGTTTTTAAAGCAGTATTTTCACTTGTTGAAGGGAAAAGTGCTACATTAAAAACCATTTGTTTGACCCGACCTTGTTGATTTTAAATTTTGCTTGGTTCCAAAACAAGTTAAGTAACATAATTACCTGAAACTTGAATTTGTATGGGATATACATATGTAACTACTCGCCATATACATTCATACAAATTTATGCTTGTACTTAAAACACATTTATTCACATTTATAATATACATTTATATATATATACATGCTGGCAAATAAAATTCTTATATATAATTGCAAATATGTATGTGGATAAATGATACGTACAAGAAATTAAAAACAAAATAAAGCAGAGATGCGATGCAACCAAGTATTATTGGTCACGGTGTTATAGGTCAAGGTGAAATATAAAACACACAAATAAAAAAAATTAAAAGAAGTCAAAGAAAAACTTAGAAAGACACAAAACTTAGCTTCGAAATATTCACCAACACATAAGTACTTACATTTATAACATGGAAAAAAGAAGTAAAAAAATTTAGAAAACAATCTTGTTTTTAGCTATAGCTAAAATTTATTTTTCTGTAAAGTTTTTGAATATAAACCAGTCTTTCTACCACATTATTTAGTAGTACACGTTAGACGAATTACTGTGTAAGAAATTCTTAATTTAAATTATATAAAGTAATTTACAAGTTTTCGTTATTAATTAAATTTAAACTATCCGAAAAAAGTGAAACAATAGTATGAAATATTTATTTATTTTTGCAAAGAAAGTCCAATTTTTGCTTGATTTTGTATTTAATTTAAATTAAAAATTTAATTTATTTTCTTTGACAAGTGAAACATGTAAATATGGTGTACATACATACATACATTTATATTAGATTTGCAAATGTCAAAAGAGATAATATGTAGATATGCATGTATATGTTTGTATACAGGATTATATTTTATTTAATATAAATTATATTTTATCTTTAATTTTGAAAAAATTATAATTAAAGAAATTTTAAGGAAATTATAGAGTAGTTGAAAGTACATATTACGTATCTGCATAAGGAGATTTGACATAAATTTTAAATCATGTGTCAAGACCATATCATATTTTTCATATTATGTAATTAAATTAAAATACATGCATATGCATAAAATACAACTCATACGTTGTAATTGCTGAATCTAGCAATTCATTATTACTGCAATTTTGAAGTCAAGGACCATGTTTACATTTATAACATATATATTGTATGCATATGTATGTATATTGTATGCTTCTGCTTATTTATATGTATGTACATATTTAACAAAAATGAATAGTGTTTTAATCTGTTTGAAAGTTTTTGTATAAGAAGTGGTAAAGATATTTTTGTATACGTACCATAAACACAATCATACATGATACATCTATTGTGGTATAGTTATGTTTACGCTACATATGTAACATAACCATATGCAGTGTTCCCATTTGGAAAAAACAAAATGTATCCAATTTCGAGGAAAAAATGTATCCAACCTCATAAAGCAGAATTTTTATACCAAGCCGTCCTACTGTTGGTTTTTTTATTTATAGTAAATTCTTTAAGAAATCACATACAACTTCTATTATATTTTAAATGTGTTAAAAGTTAAGGTCAGAATATGCATATGTTTTGCATATATGTTGTTGAACTATGTGTTAAAGACAATTCACCATTAAAACGGAAAAATTTAAAAAAATATGTACAGCCAATGCATTTTCTATTACAACTAGCTTACTCCAAAATATTTCTGGTACGTTTTTGTCTAAATGTTCTAGATTTGAATACAGGAAGAGGCAGCACTCATTTAATAAAGCAGATTTCTTACTTTCCTTTAGTAAACTCGGAAATCTGCTTAGAAATGCCAGGAAATAACACTTTTGAAAGATAAAGCAATTACGCGTTTTAATATTAGCAGCATTTTAACAGTTTTGTAACATTTATTTAGTGTTTAGAGAATAAATGTATCCATATTTCAGCAAAATTTTGAAATGTAGCCAATTTCAGCATTTTAGCAGATTTGAGTATCTTTGTATCCAAGCTAAATTTAAAGCAAAAAATGTATCCAAATGGATACAATTGTATCCAAGTGGGAACGCTGACCATATGTTTATATTAAATGTATCACGTACCACAATATATTTCGCATGAGACATAGAGAAAAATGTTATATTAGTTAACTATTAGCACTCATCGTAGCACATCAAAAAAAATAGTAACAAAAATTTTCAAGAAATTTTAAGTTTTGTAAAAAAAATTTCAAAAAAATAAGAAAATTCTAACTTTGAAGAACTGTATCTCAAAAACTATCATAGTAGTTTTTAGACCAAAAACAAAGTACAATTAACCGCCTGTAAAACAAGTTGCTAATGATTAATATATGTGGTATGGTCTCGAAGTTATAATCGTTTATTTATATGCAGGAAAAGTTCGATACCTTTTTTTTTATAACAGGCTGCAGTCCGTACGAACTTATGTTAGAAGGGTATACTAAATTTGCCTTAGCGTTACGTTTGTAACGCTGTAATGATCTGAGAAATAGACTCAAGTTTATGTTTTTGATCAGCGTCATATTCTGACCCTGGTCAAAAACATACTTCGTTCTGAGTTCTGAAACTCAGAAACTAATTGAGCTAAATTCACCAGTCAGCTAGTAAAGGCAAGAATCCTGTTTAAATTGGATATGATCGGGTTATTGGTTCGAGTACCTGCTATACAACTTCCAAATTTATTTGGTTATATCTCAGAAACTATAAATCCTATGGTGTTGAAATTTGGCATAAGTAAGTATATTAGTAGGGCCAATGTGTTTGATAACAGTCGTTTGGCTCCTGCTGGTAGCTGCCATACAACTTCAAAAGTTTTTTGGCTATATCTCATAAGCTATAAAAGCTGTGATATTGAAATTTCACGCAAGCGGATATATTAGGAGGGCCAATGTGATTGGTAAAAATTGTTGGAATTTTTAGGCTCTTTGTGGTAGCAGCCATGCAACTTCAATAGTAGTTTGGCCATATCTTAGAAAATATTGAAAACACACTACTGAAATTTTGCATAAATTAATATGTTAATATTACAACTTAAATTCATAGTCTGTCCCATAGTCATCTACGGCATATATAGGATAACAAATTCGTACGGGTATCCTATTTGACACGGTCAAATCTATTTTTTCTCGTTTTCTACTACTCGTAAAATGTATACAAAATTTATTTTGTTTTTAAAAGTGAGTCGATAATTAGAGAAAAATGCAAAAATCCAATCGAAAAAATGAAAAATCTTATTGAAAAAATGAAATATTCATTAAAAAACGGAGAATTCTGATTTGAAAGTGAATAAAGAGTAAGTTAAAAAAGCGAGATAAACGTCTGTTAAGTTATTTTACGATATAGAAACTATCTTTTTATAAGAATCTACTTTTTACTTATGTATACAGGGTACTTCGCATAAGGTGGTAAATAGTTTTAGGGATGATTTTTTGATCAATTTCCAGAAAAAAATTTTATGGGGGAGAGGACGTTTTCGTGCTACAGGTTGTTGAAAAAAAGGTACTAGATTTTTCCTGCTGGATAAATAAATTCCTATAACTTCGGAACCGCGCGACATAGAGTAAAACATATATCTGTTTAGGACCCTTACATATCAGCTGGACGATATTTTGGTCTAATTGAAAAGTTGTCCAACACCTTTTTAGCCAACCTATTTTTTTGCCAAGGCGACTTTGCTTTAGCTTATGGTAGCTGAGCCAGGCTATTATCCTTAAATAGGTTAAATAGAGTAAAACATATATCTGTTTAGGACCCTTAGATATCTTTTGGTCTAATTAAAAAGTTGTCCAACACCTTTTTAGCCAACCTACAGTTTTGCCAAGGCGACTCTGCTTTAGCTTATGGTAGCTGAGCCTGGCTATTATCCTTAAATAGGTTAAGTATATCTTCATTCATTTGTACCTGTCCGCGCAAATCAGACCACGTCAGACACATACCAGTTTTTGATTTGAGAGGTCACAAGTCTCCTTGTATTGCATAATGTGAGATCCAACATCTTACCACTTCATAAAGGTCAGTTAATAAATTATTTTTTAGCTGTATTAATTATCTTCTATAAGAAAATTAGAAAAGTACTCTGGGGCTTAGTGTGTAAAGTATCATATACTAAGTGTAAAGTATTAGCATCACTTCCCGTGATTAGCCTCGTGTTCTTCTGTTTCCAGTACCCAAATAGTTTCTCTACGTCTTCTAGAGGAGCCCTGTTCTCTTCCTCGGGGAAAGACGTTAATGCACAACTAAACTACTGGATTTCCGCGGGTTTCCAAACCTCCATCTTACTGCTATGAAATTCTGAAATTAGAAGAAATTTTAGTATTTTATGAAGCCACATAGCGGTTACCGGATTATCAGTCGCAAAAATTTCACTTACTATTTAAAATTACAATGTTCATTTATTTGTAAATATGTACGTATGTATTATGCGTAAAAAAAAAATTTTAATTGTAGTAAAATGTTAAATAATGAAATTGTATTGGTAACTGGAGGAAGTGGTTGCATTGGTCAACATATAATAAAACTCTTGATAGAAAAAAAAGATGAACTCGGCGTCAAAGAAATTCGTTCTATTGATTTAAAAAAGTACGAGAATCAAATTGGTAAGAAAAAACAACAAAATTAGATATATTATTTATGTATACATGTTAAAATTTTGCAAATATTTTTGGTTACTGCTTTTTTAAAATTAACTTAGGACATGATGAGTTTGCCGAGTTAAAAACTTTTGTTGGAGATGTATGTGATCTTTCTGAATCTGCTGATAAAATCTTTAAAGGAGTTGGAACAGTTTTTCATTGTGCTAACTTAATAAGTTTGCAATATCCACCGAATTTGGATGAGTTGTACCATGTCAACGTAGACGGTGAGTAAAAGAAAATATGTGTGGGAAATAATATTATTATGAGCGATTTCCTGTAAGTTTGTAACTTTTTAGCTTTGCTTCAAATTTAAATAAAGTTAAATAGCTTTCATACATAGTGTACTACTGTTATAAACAACACAATAGAAAATCTGTCAGCTTCAAGAGAAATTTGTAACTTAACGCGTCTACTGTTAAACCTCCAAAGCTATCCTTAGACGCACAAACTCTAATCTAAAACTCCAATAGAGTTTTAACGCCACTATGGTTTATGGATCCACCTGTATTTTATAATATATTTAATACGAAATGAGAATATTTAATATTTATTTCGAAATAAGTGTGAATTTTAATAAATCAAACATGACAGTTTGTAATGATTTCTTGCATTCAATCATTTTTGTACACATATTTTTTATATATGTATGTATGTGAACGCATTTGGAAACTCATAAAAATAACTATGTGCTGGATTACCACTGTTAAGAATCGTTTGCAACCATCCCCGAGGCTTAAATCTTATCAAATCAAGAAAAAAGAAATTAAAGCAATAAATTTTCGGTTTATTAGACTCAATATATGTATTGTTATCAATCTGTTCGTCGATCTGTATATCCGCCTTCAAAAATTAATTAAGTTAAATTTTCCAAAATTTCACAAATAATTTATTGTAGTAAATGCCAACCCTACTCAAATTGAATGTGAACGAGACAGTAGTTCGACTAGCTGTCATAGAACTTCAGAAGTTATTAAGTGAAAACAATTAAATCTACAGCGCTGAAAGTTTGCGTAAATAAATGTGGTGGTAATGAAGCAGCGTAACAATAATACAACTCTTAAAATAATTCATTCGTACGGGGTACTGGAAAGTAAACAGAACCAAATTTACCTTTTCTGGTTTTAAATGAAATCTTTGCTTACAGTGTTCCTGTCTGCAGGGAAAATTGGAAGAAAAATGACAAAACATGGAAGAAAATCAATATGGGGGAAGGGAAACTATGTAACAAAACGAAAAAAAGTAACCAATTTTGGTGTGAAATCACCAAAAATGGGAACACTGACAAGAGTTGTAAAAGTCTATGTCTTGTTTACAAAAATGAAATAATACATTTCGCTATTGATATTATATTTTCTTTCGAAAAATGACTTTTATATGTACATTTTTTATAACACTATATAAATTATTTTATGTTTGTATGTATGATTTTATGTTGTTTAAATACAGGCCTGAACTTTATGGGAGCGTTAGTTCACAGTTGTCGAATTAACACCTGTTCAACACCAGTTTTAGAATAATAGAAGCTGTAGAGGGCTAAAAACTTTTTAACACTATAAATCTCTGCCAAGATCAATTTATTTTTATTTATAGTTAAAAAAGGTTAAAATTCAATCCTTTTTTATTTTTATAAAAAAAGATTATCAATCTTAAACGTTTCTATAGTTTTGTGGTATAGAAACATTATACACAAAAATTTATTTAAAAAAACCTTCCAGGCTTACGATATATGACATAATAAGTTGTATATAAGTTTTTTATATGTACGCTATAAATATACGAGTATTTGATAAATTTTTTTATATTTCGGTCCATATAATTTTTTTGGGGTATGTTTCAATGTACATTTAATTATACGAGTATAAGTAGATATTTTCATACGAGCTATTATAAAGATCCATAAATACATACAAATGTATAATTTTATTATTGTAATATAAGCATATTGTGAATAAATAATTATCATTCTTTCTATAACACATTTCAGATGAATATGAAACATCTTTCTCGTTACGAAAATAAAAAACTGAAACAAGTATCTAATATTAAATTTCTAGTACTCGTATGTTCGTTTTTATTATTGGGGGGCAGCTGAAAATAGCGTTTTTATAGTTTTGTAATAAATAATTATATTCTAATTTCAAACTTAATTAAAATTTAATTAAGTTTGAAATAAGAATATAATTATTATGGAATTATAGAATATAGAATTCTAGAACATAATTATTATGAAATCTAATAAAATTTTTATGGAAATTTATTTCGTCCGGTGCATTCGAGAATATCCTAAAAGGACTTATACTATACATATATGCATTTAAAAGGTGTTCCTGGTATGCATCTACTGTCAAAATCTCATAAGTGCACGATGTCTTCCTCAAAGGTTATGACAGAAAAGGGGCTCACGACATTCTGAAAATTTTTCAAAAATTCCATTCTAGTTTATCGAAGTTTGACTTACCCACACAATAGAATGTTTTTTTTTTCTTCCTTTGTTCACTCCTAGAAAGAGCATAGGGCTAGTGCATGATTTCTCATGCAATAGTTTCATAGCGTCATAGAGTTTTTAACTAGGTAGGTGACTAGCCTGCCATAGTTTTATTTATATAAATTATTTGAGGTTATTAATATTTACTGTTTATTTTTCTTAGTTTTTTTTTTTAATATCGAATATTACGAATATTTGAAAATTACTTGTATAATATTTATTAGTATTGTATATTAAGTTTTATAGTGACCTGACCGGGGTTTGAACCCGAGACCTTTCGGTTAAAGGACCGGTGCTATAACCACTGCACCAATGGTCAGATACACACTAGAATGTACAAATAAAAATTGGCATGGTAATAAGTTAATATACGATATTAATGACCAGGTAATATGTATGTTTTTTTATGCCCTGTATTTTCGTGAATATTCATTCTGCTCAGCGTAAAATTTGTTGTTGACTTAGACATGTCTACAGTTTGTCTGTCTGTTCGTCCGTCCGATAGCACGATAACTCAAACGCATAATGCTATCGACATCAAACTTTCACAAACTGTTTCTTTTCTACCACGGACAGCTGCTACTGTAATTCGACCAATTCAGACAATGGGTTCGGATAGCTGCCATATAACTCAAAAAGGTTATTTTAAACATTTCCAAAACTAATAGAGATATTAATACCAAATTTTAAATATTTGGAAAAATAATAAAGTCAGATTCATGAAACTTGGCATTCGTGTGTCCAATTATACGTCACATATATTACTGGTGGCCTACCATGTAGTGCTACTTTCGCTAAACGATTTTCGCATTTTAAATTTTGACACTATGTAAATCGAATATCGTAAATTTGCGTATGCGAAAGTAGCAAAAGTGGTTCTACAAAATGCTACTTTCGCATACTTTTCATTCACTTGCCATTTTGTTTACGAATCTTATTGTAAAAATCTAAGTTTTTGAAAAAATAAAACTGAACAATGAAAGTGTTATATTTATTTTGCTTTATTAAATTAAAAAAACCTTGCATTTCAAATTTATCGCAATTAACTAAATTTTTGTAATAAATAATTATAATTATAGGTCAAGATAAAATACAAAACCATTCCGGTTTAAGAAAATAGCAAAATAGCACTAATTTTGTGCTAACTTACCAAATTTGTTTCGCTTCCCTTTTCGCGACTTTACTTCTTCCCAGTTTTTATGTGACTAAACTTTTCATCTATAGGCTTACAAACTTCGGTTACAATAAGTAAAATGGTTTGCTGAGCAAGAACAATACTTAAATCTTAACCTGCATAAAAATCTTGCTATCCATATTTGTTTAAAAAATTAACAACAATCGCCTCCTTAATATTATACATACATTTAAATGTGACTTTTTTAAAATAATTATAATGCTTACTTAAAAAAACTGTCAGAAATGTCAAAAACAGAAAATTTTACAAAATGCTGCCAGTTTAAATTTTTTACGATGCGATCTTGTTACATAGTACTAAATCACTTGCGAATCGCAAATTAACTTGAAACCTGAAGTTTTGATGGAATGGATTGGCAGGGTTGGATACCTGCCATAGAACTCCAAAAGCTAATTTTAAATTTTCGAAAAAATCATAAAGTCAGGTTTACGAAATTTGGCAATCATGTACTCAATTATGTGTCACATATATCGCTCAAATTTTTATGAAATGGTTTGACAGTTTTGAGCAATTGCCATATTTCGAAATATTAAAATTCGAAATATTTCAAAAACAAATTTTCCAAATCTGTTAAAGATGCAGGGTATAATTCAGTCGGCTTATAACGACCGAAATGTTTTTACTTGTTCTAATTTGAAGTTAATGACGTAAGTAGTGTAACGATATTTTTAAGTGTTGTTAATAAACAATTTCATGGAGGTATGCCAAGCTACGATGAGCATGTTCGGGCAAAAACAAAAAAAAATTATTTTTGTATGTTGTGTAAAAAATACGACAAAAACTGTAATTTTTTGTTTTAAAAGAGAAACAATAGTAAATAACAAACTTTTGTCCATTCTTGTCATTCATGGTAGTAAATGGATATTAATAAGATTTTTAATAAAGTTAAACATTATTAATAAACGTGAAACATATGAGCAGTCTTTTAAGTTAAAAAAGATGTTTTATTTAAAGTATTTTTATAAAAAATATTTATTTGCACATTATTATTTTATATAATCCAAGGTAAAAATGCATCGTGGTTATTTAATTATCAATGCAGTGAAGGAAATGCAAAATAAGATTCTTGCTTTTTGAAATTAAAAATAAATTGATTCAAAGACTGAAAAAAGTGAACCTCGAAAACTTTTTTACTAAAAATAAAATTTCCATTGCCCAGTTACGTCCGCAAATACGTATTTTAGAACAAATGAAAAAATAAAAAATGAAAATATTAGCTGCGTATAAATTTAAGGCCATTATATTATCCCCTAAAATAATAACCTTTTGTATTCTTGAAGAACCCTTGAAAATCTCTTTTCAAAAGTAAAAGGACTTAAAGAAACAAGTATAAAAGAAAACGAGAAAAAGTAGAGTTGACCGTGTCAACTTTGTCATATCCGTACGAATTTGTTAAACTATGTGCAAATGAATATGCCATAGCTGATTATGGGACAGACTATAACCTTAAGTTACCGTACTATCGTACCATATTAATTTGTACAAAATTTCAATACGTTGATTCCAATATTTGCTAAGATATAGCCAAATTGCTATTGAAGTTCTATGGCAGCTACCACAACGAGTCAAGAAATTTCAATGATTTTTATCGCACATAAGATTTGCACTAATAAAATAAGAGTTGTTTTGACGAAATTTTTATATTATAGTTTCAATAATTTCTGAGATAATGCCAAATAGCTTTTCAAGTTGTATGGTAGCTACCAGAAGGAGCCAAGCAATTTTATCAAACACATTGTCCATATTAACATATTTGTTTTGCGAAATTTCAGTACCATAGTTTTTATAGTTTCTGAGATATAGCCAAAAAACTTTTGAGGTTTTATGGCAGTTACCCGAACCAGTACCTTGATCATATTCAATTTAAATAGGGTTCTCGCATTAAAACCAATTTAATCAAACTTAGCTCGATTAGTTTTTGAGTTATCACTGGGACGGATGGACGGACGGACGAACGGTCAAAGCTCAATCGACCCAAAACACATTCTAGTAGGAATTTTCTCTAATTAGTGCCAAATTTAAATAAAATATTTTAAATACTGTTGGTAATATTAAATAAATGTAAATTTCCCAATATTTTGATGAATCATATTTCTACATATAATACAACTTCAGAAAAATGCTTTTAAAAAAAAATTCAAAACGTGTTGCCTGACACCATTTAGTGGTTACAAACCGCCTAGCTCGAGTTAAGACAAAAATGAGATATGTATACCAGCAATTCTCCGTTTTGCGATTTATACACATCGCCTAACTTGAAATGGTAACTACTTGCACTTGCAGTAATCCCCTAAATCGAGTTAAGGGCAGAGGTCATCTTGTTTATGTTTTTTTACCATCCACTTATTTCGAGATAGATTCTTATTGCAAATAAGAATTAGTGGCAAATTTTTTAAAATGTTTGGATGTTTGTAACCGTGTATGTCGAGTTTATTTATATACTTACTTGAGATTAGCGATTTGTGCAAAATGAGATAAAATTCTATCTCACTTCCGTGAGATAAAATTTCTTCGTTTTTGAAATATTTATAATGCTTTTGTTATACAAAAGGAAGTATTTTTTACAAAGACAGTTTTTTTAATATTTATTTTTTAATACGAGTATAATGTTAATGTTGGGCATTTTGAGTAACATAAAAATTATCCAAAATTTATTCTATGAATAAATGTACGGAAAAAATTTTGGAACTTGCTAGGAGAACTGGAATAATTGTAGCTGACGTTAAAGGTAACGTAATACATTTGAAATTAACATGACGATTTTAGCGTATTTTAAAACGTAGAAATTATTGAAATGGGTCCTACAGGAAATAAACAAATAAGCATCAACAGATCTTGCTATGAAAACCAAGTATATATAGGTTTGAAAATCTCAATTGACTTTGGTTCTGATGACCGTATTGTGATGATTGTGATTTGCAAAGAAAATTTTTGTCAGGATTTGACATAAATGACGGGTTCATTGAAGTGGAAAAAGATGTTGAAAAAAATAAAGAAAGTTCGGATTAAAAGCAAAATAAATTAAAGAAGTATTTAAGAAAAAAGGCATTCAATGATAGGAATTTGGAAAATGAATATATAAATCGACAAGGCAAGCAGGTTTCTCTTTTCGTATAAACTGCAGCTGTAAGATTTCCAATAACATGTAGAAGCAAATTTCCAAGTCCTATTTGATATGAGAACATGTCTCCAAAGAATTTTATGTGCAGCCTCGTTAAAGGATATATCTGAAACAAAAACCACATGCAAGATAAAGCATGTCAGTAATTTCAGAGAAGGTAAATTACACATGCAATACAACGTACAACGAATAAGATAACATGCAAAGTGAATAAGATTGAAATTTGTGAGGTATACCTTAAACAGTGCCTTGATGAAACTGATAATTTCTAAAAAAATTGTTTTAAACCCAAACCTTGCCACCCAAAAGAGAACTTACAGATTTCCAGAATAGAGCTTCGCGTTCAAATAGATTTGACAACTCAGTAATTGAAGCCGTAAAAGAGTAGAAGCTTTCCTGATCACACTATTTAAGAAAAGAGAATATATATAAATATCTTCATGCTTCAACTTTATTTAATGGCACAACTTTATCAGATCAGTTGGCGCAATGAATCTTTTCAATGTAATTTAAATACTATTTAAGAAGAGATCGCACTATTTAAGAAGAGAGAATACATATAAATATCTTCATGCTTCAACTTTATTTAATGGCACAGCTTTATCAGATCAGTTGGCGCAATGAATCTTTTCAATGTAATTTAAATACTATTTGAAACTCTTTCAAATTGAAAGAAGAGGGTGGACAAAGAAAAATCGTTTATGTTAAAACGACTAGTGAGATTTTTAAGTCACTTAAATGTATTACTTACATTCAAATGTGTTACAAATTTTTTACAAATTTTACAAATGCATATAGATTTTATAAAAGTTATAATAAAGTAAGATTGAATTTGTCATAAGAGCATACGTCATAAATCATGAACATTTTTGCTTAGGTTATAGAAAGTTAATAAGAGCTTCCAGAATTTTATAATAATCGGATTAACTCACCCCCATATATTAACTTTGAAAATTATGAGAAAAATTACTTTGAAAATTATGCATAATAAAAACAACTAGTCAAAATTTATCACTAAAATATATGTGTGTATAAACTTCGATTTTTCTATATTAAACGGCAAAAAGTAGAAGTTCTGTAAGTAGACCAGCATAAGAACAGATGGGCACATTTCGCCCAAAATATTTCGCGGATGTGTTGAAAATGAATCTAGTATAAGATATATATATGTATAATCGACAATATATGAACTTTTCAGGGTTTAATAAAATTTTAAGAATTCTTAAATTGTGTATTATTTTGAAATAATTATTCCAATTAGTTTTATATGTTTTGTTTTTTTTAAATTATTAATTCAATTTATTTTTAAGGTACCCAAAAAATAATTGAATTGTGCTTAAAGTTCAATATAAAAAATTTAGTTTATACTTCATGCGGCTCTGTAAATTTTTTACCTTATAAGAATAGTACATTTTCAATTATTATCAATCAAACGGAATCAAAAGCTTTAACTCCAGTCCTTGATAACAGACATAAAGTGTCACCAGTAGAGTTTGACAAAGGATTTTTAATACCTGGATATGCTTCTTCGAAATTAAGAGCCGAAAATATTGTTATTAATTCTTGTGGTGCGAAATTAAGTAATGGCTCAGGTAAGTTTATTTATAAATATTTTATATATTTTATAAATATTTTATATTGCCATTTGAAATTATCAATTGTGTCAAAAAAGATTTTCAGAAAATTTGGTTACTGGTTTACGATAAATTTTATTCAAAAACTGAGAGCTAAATGAAAAAATGACTAGATTAGTATTAGATTAGGTACTAGATTTTTCCTGCGTATATATAAATGAACTATGCGACGTAGAGTAACCATCGAAGGCTGGTTTTCTAGGCGATCGACTCTTCTATCTCGAAAACTATGGCTCAATTTAATTTGAGCCATAGTTTTCGAGATAAAGCTCTTGAAAATTTCATATATTTCATATAAATTCCTTATCACACATACTAAACTAAAATATTATTTAGTGTATGTTATTTCTGTAAGAAACGTATGAAATATGTATTTTTCGCATGTTTTTTAAATTATTTAACATGTTTTACTGGCAAAACTTAGAGAAAAATATTATATGAGCTAACTTTAACCTCTTATTATAAAACACAAATAATAACACAATTTTCGAGAAATTTCGAGTTCTTAAAAATAAAAAAAAAATTAAGAAAAAAAAGCAAACATTTTTAGTTTGACGAGCTCTATCTCAAAAACTTTAAGCCATAGATTTGATTAAGACAGAAAATAAAGAGCAATCAATCACTTGCAAAACAAGCTTCCGATGGTTACTTTACGTCGCATGGTTCCGAAGTTATAAGTATTTATTTATATGTAGGAAAAATTTGGAATCTTTTTTTTCAAAAGGTTGTGGCCCGAAAACGAATATATCTGCGCCCCAAATTCGAAAAAATTAAAAAAAAAAAATGGGCTGACGATTTCTGAAAATCGAAACGAAATGGGCTGATGATGACAAGTCTCAATACTCAATTTTTTTTATGAAATATTACGGATTTTTGGCATCGTTCCTGTTTTTTTCTTTAAATGCCACTGATCGTGTCATATTTCTTTTTATTTTTTTCTTTTTTTTTACGTAAAAAAGAGTTTAATATTTTAAAAAATCTCAGGATCAGTGTTCCCACTCAATAAAAACAAAATGTATCCAATTTCGAGAAAAAAATGTATCCAAAATGTATCCAGCCTCCTAAAGTAGAATTATTATACTAAATCGTATTATTTTATACCAATAAACTCATAAATAATAATATTAATTTGCTTTATTCAACAATGTGAGTTTCGCTATTTATAGTAAATTCTTTTAGAAATCAGACGCAATTTCTATTATATTTTAAAATTTAAGGTCAGAAAATATACATATGTTCTGTAGTTGTTGAACTATGCGGTAAAAACGATTCAGCACGAAAACGGGCAAATTTTATTTAGTCAGCAAATAACATTTTTTGGAAGATAATGCACTTAAAAGTTACAGCAATTTAAAAGTTTTCTAACATTTATTTAGTGTTCGAGAAAGAAATGTATCCATATTTCAACAAAATTTTAAAATGTAGCCAATTTCAACATTTTAGCAGATTTGAGTATCTTTGTATCCAAGCTAAATTTTAAAGCAAAAATGAATCAAAATGGATATAATTGTATCCAAGTGGGAACGCTGCTCAGGATTATACACATTTTTTAAAAAGCTTCCCATTTAAATTCTATTGCATGAAAAAGAAAGAAAGGTAGGAGGAAAAAAAAAATGATAACAAATTTCAAATTCATATTTCAGTATGGTTTCAAATGTTAATGAGGAACGATGTATGATTTTTCATACACATTTTGTATTTCCCAATAAGGTAAGTTGAGTAGTGTTGGTTAACAAAAATGTAAATAAAAGTAATATCGGTTGACACATTTCAACAATTTGAATTATCTCATTTCGGTTATTTATACGTTACTTATAAAATTGTTTCAAATAATTTCAGTTAGTTTTTATGTTATTAAAAATACATATGTATGCACCTACTTCCAATCAATTTATTTTAATAATTATTTTAAAACTATTTTATACATGGTATATTGAATGCTTCGAAAATTTTGTTGTGCTCTTCTTTCATATTTTATTAGCAGGTAAACAAGAGCAATCTATTTATAAAATGGCCCTTTCTGTGTATGAATCTTAATAGTAAACGCAAACGGACAAAAATTTACGGATATCAGTACCTCCTACTTGTCATTTTACAATCGGAGTTTTTGAGTCATTTGCTAAGATACTATTTATTTCAAAAATAAAAAAGACATTCGAATCCGGTCATAAAAATATATTATTGTCTGTTCCAAAACCTTTTAAATATTTTTTTACATAGGTAATATATTAAGTTTTAAAAATTTTTCTCAAATAAAAAGGGAGGTAAAATTTTGAAGTATATATAAAATTTGTATTTGTAAAATAATATTTAATTGTATTTTAGATATTATTTTCTAATTCCCTCTTCAAATTTTTTCTTTACTATGTATTCATATCAATATTTAATAATTATCTTTCATTAACTATATTTTCAACTTGACACCACAGTTACTTCTCATATTTTGAGTTAACTTACCCTATGAGAAAAAAAAGCTGTTCACTTAAAAATAATGAAATCAGCGTTCCCACTTGGATACATTTTTGCTTTAAATTTACATATTAAAATTTTTTTGAACTACGGATACATTTTTTTTCCAAACACTAAATAAATACATATTACAAAACAGTTAAAATGCTGCTAATATTAAATCGCGAAGTTGCTTTATCTTCAATAAATGTTGTTTGCTGGCTTTTCTAAGCAGGTTTCCAAATTTTTTAGAAGAATGTAAAAAAGATACTTTATTAACTGCCTCTTCCTGTATTCAAATCTAGAACATTTATACAAGAACGTACCAGAAATATTTTAGTGTAAGCTAGGTGTAAGCTGTATTTTAGTGTAAGCTATTTTTTAAAATTTGTCCGTTTTCATGGTGAATTGTCTTTACCGCAAAGTTCAACAACTACAGAACATACACATATGCTTTTCTTACCTTAATTTTTACATTTAAAATGTAATAAAAGTTGTATGTGATTTCTTAAAGAATTTACTATAAATAACAAAACTCATATTGTGGAATAAAGCAAATTATTATTAATTATGGGTTAATTTGCACAAAATAAGACGACTTAGTATAATAATGCTATTTTAAAAGGTTGGATACATTTTGGTTACATTTTTTGCTCGAAATTGGATACATTTTGTTTTTACCGAGTGGGAACACTGAATGAAATGCTCTCAGTAACATATAAAACGTTGAAGACGAAGGTTGTGCTTGTTGTTTTTCTGCTGTTTCAAGAATTTTAAAATAATTATGAATGAAAATGTTAATATATTTTCTTAATTTTTCAAATATATTTTCTAAATTTTACCTGGTTTATAATAAGTGTGAATTTATTTTAATATTTCTTCTCAAAAAATAGCCACATCGATTTAAAAAAACCCATATAAAATAAGGTCGTGCTTTTATAGGCATTTTCCTTGAAATGCTTCGCACATCTGTACGGTATTATACCCGGTAAAAATAATAATAATAGTATGCATGAAAATATAAAAATAATAATAGAATAGTATGTTGATATTGGGATTTTTATTGTATGTTATTAAGTATTTGTTACGTTTCCTTTTCAGACACTTTGAAAACTGTTGCAATTAGATCTCCAATTATTTATGGAGAGGGAGATAATCATTTTCTTCCTCCACTGTTCAAATGTCTAGCGAGTTGGAACAATTCTATTCCCCGAATTGGTGGTGCTGGAGGAAAGCATCAGTTAGTATATGCGGGTAAGTATTAGTTTTGTGCCATATGTGGGTATTTTTTCAGTAAGGATTTAAATTAATGTTGTTGTTTTTGTAAGTCATAAATAGAAAATGTGAATGTTTTGTATAAAATAATTTTCCTACTTTATAAGGCTACTTTTTCTTTTATTATTCTAATTCTTCTATCAATGCATAACTATAATCGTCATGCAAATAAAATTTTGGCAATTTTTTCTTAAAGGGTTTCTTTTCTCATTTCTTAGCGGAGTAGCCCGAGTATCTCTTTCATATTAGGAAATGTTACACATATGAGCCATGAATTCACTACCTTTTCGTTTTAAAATCTGTATACAAAAATTGATTTCAGTATATTTGCATATGAAATTCAAACATTCAGTATTTATGTAGAATATCAATTTTGTAATTAAAAGTTCGAGTTCGACTTGAATAAGGTGAAACGGTAACTCGAGGTGCATTTAAGATAGTACCTAATTTTTTGTTATAGTTCTTTAGATATTTTCAAAACAAAATCCTTTTTAGGATTTTTAGGGAATGGAAGTTAAGTTGTGATACGGACTATTCAAACTTTTGGTTTATATAAATAAAATTTTTAATCAAATAAGCCTATACGTATATGTATATTAAAATTCAGGGTTTTGTTATGTGTTTTTGTTCTCTTTTTCAGGCAATGTAGCTTGGGGTCATATTTGCGCTTTTAAAACTTTACGAGATTCACCAAAAAGTATCGCAGGGCTTCCCGTATTTATTACTGATGAAACGCCAATTAATGATTATTCACGATTTGTACAACGTATTGGCAAGGAATCGAATAATAATAAGATGAAATTTACTCATTCTAGATGGTATTTACCACATTTTTTGTTTTATTTTATTGCGTTTTTGTATGAGACCATGGTTAGATTATTGTATCCGGTTTTAAAACTTCAATTGAAATATTCGTGGAGAGCTATTTCATCATTCACATCATCTGTTATTATGTTCAATCGATTAAGAGCTGAAATTCATATTAATTACTATCCTATATACAGCGCAGATGTTGCTATCCATCAATCAGCTAAATGGTATGGCGTCTGGTATGAGCATAATATTAATGTAGGGAGTAAATCAAAGAATAAATAGTAAATATATAACACAAAGGAATTACATGACTAAAGACATTAAAATTATTTAATATTGTTATAATCTTATAGGTTCCTTTTAAGCATAAACCAGTCAAGCATTTGTTTGATCATCTCATAATAAAAAATAAAAAAAGAGAGTTTTTTTGTAAAATAGAATTTGAAAATTAACGGTTATGCAAAAATAAAAGTGAAATATTGTTTTGTTAACACTTTATTAAAATTTTGCCAAACTGCTTTTAAATAAATGTTTATATTTTTGATGTTTATAAATTAATAGGCATTATATTTCAACTATCTACGGAATCGTTTCTTTATCGACTTTTTTTAATTTTAAATTTTTTCAATAATTAATATAAGAGATCTAAGTTTATTAGCTTTTATGTACTTTTTTTGGGGTAAAAAAAATAAAAATAACTTAGAATAATAAAGATTTCATTAATTTTAAATTTTAATCAATACAAATCCAGTAATCCTAACTATAGCTACATACTTTATATATTTTTGCACTTAACGCAGGTTCGTCCTTTGACATCCCTTAAATATTTTATTTCTTATTTGCTTAACAATTTTTTAAATAAATTTTGATTTATTGTAAGAAAGTTTATGGTAGAAAAATATAAGTTATACGAAGGACTGCTGTATAGTATTGTATATGCAAAGTTACATGTCCGAAAAGTTAATCTACTATAGTTTAATATAGTATTCTAAAAAATTACTCGACGACCTCTAGAATACTTATTCTGGAGTGTGTGAAGAACTCAACCCCGCGACCCTTCCAGTATGCCTATTGTGACCGTATGAAGATTTCCTACAAAATTCGGTAAAGTTTGAGGTACTCTATCGTGCGACACATGAAGCTTCGGATTTTTAAAATATTGGCGAAAATATCTTGAGTTTTGTGTGCAGATATTTTAAAAATCAAATAAGTGTTAAAACATGGAAAATGTTGAGAAGGATTTAAAAAAAAAAATTAAAAAAATTTTATATTAAAAATTTATATAATTATGCGTTACAATTGCTTATACACTTTTTTTACACCTATAGACTTTTTTTGAGCGCTCTATAATAAAAAAGTTTTAGAAGTCGATTTTAGTAATCAGCAAATATTTGGAAATCTATTGAAGATAGTAAATATTGTTCTTAGCAGGTAAAAATTACTGCAACCGTGAACAATGGCCGTGACTTTCAAAATGCAATAATAAAAGTTTGACTATAATATAAAATATATAAAAAATAGTACGCCTTTATAGCAAAATACAAAACAGTTAAAAAAAGCATATGTAACCAGTTAAGGTAAATCAACTGGCAACAACAGTTTCTGACTTCTAAAACACAGGGAAAACGTAAAACTTACAATGTGTCGTATTCCACAATGTACATTCAAAGCTCTTGACATTGTACACTATTCTAACACGCATGGAACACACAGTCGAAAAATACGTAAAAGCAGAGTGTCTACGTAAAAAATTGAGACTACTTTTTGTAAACATCTGGATATTTTTGTATTAAATGTTAGAATAATATCTTTATATCTAACAAGTCCCAATGCTCAGAGAGAAACTTGAAAGCACGACCTTATTTTATATGGGTTTTTTTAAATCGAAGTGGCTATTTTTTGAGAAGAAATATTAAAATAAATTCACACTTATTATAAAGCAGGTAAAATTTAGAAAATATATTTGAAAAATCAAAAAAATATATTAATATTTTCATTGATAATTATTTTAAAATTTAAAAAAAAAGCGGAAAAGCAACAAGCACATAAACGTTTTATATGTTACTGAAAGCATTTCATTATTTTTAAGTGAACAGTTTTTTTTCTCATAGGGTAAGTTAACTCAAGATATGGGGAGTAACTGTGGTGTCAAGTTGAAAATATAATTAATGAAAGATAATTCTTAAATATTGATATAAATACATAGTAAAGAAAAAATTTGAAGAGGGAATTAGAAAATAATATCTAAAATCCAATCAAATATTATTTGTCAAATGCAAATTTTATATAAACTTCAAAATTTTATCTCTATTTTTATTTGAAAAAATATTAAAAACTTACTATCATTTATATCAATTACCTAAGAAAAAAAAATATTTAAAATGTTTGGAAAAAACAATCATATATTTTTATGACCGGATTTGAATATTTTTTTATTTTTAAAATAAATGGTATTTTACCAAATGACTCAAAAATTCCAACTGTAAAATAACAGGTATTTTAAAATTTTTGTTCTTTATGTAATATTCTTTCCTTTTAAAATTAAGATAGGTCATACATACACATGCAGGGACATTAAATAGATTGCTCTTGTTTACTTGCTAATAAAATGTGAAAAAAGAGCACAGCAAAATTTTTGAAGCACTCAATATAACATGTTTGAAATAGTTTTAAAATAATTATTTAAAAAAAAATTATTGCAAGTATGTACATACATATTTATTTTTAATAACTTAAAAACTAACTGAAATTATTTGAAACAATTTTATAAGTAACTTATAAATAACCGAAATGAGATAATTCAAATTGTTGAAATGTGCCAACCTATATTAACCTATATATTGTGCCTTTTACTAACATTTTTGTTAGCCGACACTACTTAAGTTACCTTATTGGGAAATACAAAATGTGCATGAAAAATCATAAATCCTTCCTCATTAACATTTGAAACCATACTGAAATATGAATTTCAAATTTTTTATCATTTTTTCTTTCCCCCTGCCTTTCTTTCTTTTTCGTGCAATAGAATTTTAATGGGAAGCTTTTTAAAAAATGTGTATAATATCTTGAGATTTTTTAAAATATTAAACTCTTTTTTACGTAAAAAAAAGAAAAAAATAATAAAAAATATGACACGATCAGTGGCATTTAAAAAAAAAACCAGCAACGAAGCCAAAAATTCGTAATATTTCGTAAAAAAAATTGAGTATTGGGACTTGTTAGATATAAAGATATTAATTGAGTAATATCCGGAAAAACAAGATTTGGTACCATTAGTTTGATGAATATGCAAAAAATAGCAAACTTTTTTCGGTTGCCCATTTTGCTTTTTTCTGCGTAGTAACTACTCAAATTCTGTATTTTTTCTGCAGAATGTGTATTTTTGTATATTTTTTTTTGTATTGCATTCTGGATCAGCAGTACATTGTAGTTATACTTTTATACTCCATTTTAGAAGTCGCGGCAAATCTTCGATACCATCTGTCATTATCTAAATACGCTTCTGTTATTATCTAATCTGTTTATTATTGATAGTGTTGTTATTACCGTGATTTCTGAGCAGTCTACATATAACTTCAGTGTATTTTGGCTTGAATAATATTGATTTGCGACATAATATTTTATATAGGTTCTAAAAAATCTCATAAAGGTGTAAATCTTTTAAAAAAATTTTTAAGAAGAAAACATTACTTTTATGTCGAAAAAACATTATATATTTTGTGCCAAAGGAAACAAAATGTTCCACAATATATTTTTACCGATGGCATTGTGTATACAATAGGTAGGTTATGTGATGGCAACAAATTTTGCATATCGAGTTTTTGGTAGGAACGCACTTCTCCATGGGAGGGAAGTGTAAATAAACAAAATTTAGAGAGATGTCGGTTTGTCGGTCTGTACGTGCACGCGTGTACGTACTGTAAGTACGGCTGAACCCAAATTTTATATTTACCTTTCGGAATTATTATAAAAAAAACAAAATGTTTTTTTTTTCTCTTGTTTCTTTTATTTCATATATATTTTAAATACAAAATATTATGGCAGCAGTTGACACTTTCTTGTTGGAACAAATTTAAATCAAAGGAGTTTTAATTTATTTTAATTATAACATAACTTTATTAAGTATTATGTTAACAGAAATACAATCTTTTATTCTATATTTTATTCTAGTAGAATGACTGTATTCTTTGAGTATCAACTTTCAACCACTCTTTTAAAATACAATCATTTTTAATAAAATCTTTAATCTTACAAAACTATTTTTCTTAATTATCGAACAAAGACATTTTCCTTTGTCTTAATTATTTTCTAATCAATTTCTTAACAACTAATAATCATATTTTTACCGCTATCAAGATTAAAAATGTTTTTACATTTTATTACTTTGTTTATTTACTTTTTTGTTTATGGCTGATACGAGTAGTACTTCAGCATAATGGTTTTTACAACTTGTTGACTCTTGATTTTGTTTATTACAATTATTTTTGGGAGGTATACTTTTACTATTATCTACAATATCCTTATACAAAACTCCCGCGATTTTGATGAAATTTTATATGTAAGTTTATTTCGACTATGGCACGGATTGATCAACTTTTGGGATATATCAGGACTCGGGAAGTAGACTTTTTAGCGGGCCTGTTTTACATTTTTGACCATTATGAAGAAAATATTCAACAGATTTACTTGAAATTTCATATATAAGTTTCATTCGACCGAACGCGAAACCTCCTGGAAGAAATCAGGTGTCAGTAACTGGAGTTTTAATACGGGCCAAATAATAAATTCTTCGTATTAAGACAATGAACATGTGTATGTATAAAATTTTTGAAAAGATCAGATCGGTTATGTTCTGACCACATCAGATTTTTTTATAATTTAGAGCTTTTTAGTTGTTTTGGTGGAGAATCAATTCACGTTTTTTAAAAAGTCAAGTGAACCCAAAAATCTTGCTAATCCCTTTCCTGTGTTGCACCTTAATTGTTATCAATTAATAATTAATTATTTTTAATTATTACAATCTGGTTTTTATAACAAAGTTAATGGTTTTTAGTAGCATTGATATGAAAGCGATCCTATACCATATTTAGACCATGATTCTTGTTTTTCTGGTGTTTATACTTTTCGTGATTCGGTTCTTAAACATATACATATTAATTAATGTTTTTTGAGTCACTGATTCGTGTCCAATTAATTTTTCAGAACTGATTAATTATTTTAAATAATATTCAATCTGTCCCGGTGTTGCATGAGGAAATTTTTTTGAACATTCCACATATGCACCAAATCACGTTTAATAACATTTGGCAAAAATTTAGTCCTGCAATTGTGGAATGACTATCTGAAAATATAACAATAGTTGCAAAAACCCTCCGGCTATTTTCCTTTATGTCAAGATCGAGGGCAAAAATCTGCGAGTGGAAAATTGTCGAAGCAGCAGCCACAATTGGTGAATAGAATTCGGCGTCAGTATTTAGTAATATCACTCGATATCGACATTTTAGCCTTTCCTACTTCCACCATGTTTTGGCAGAAAACATAACGTTAAACGGCTTTTCGCAGGTATCTTAAAATCCCTAAAAAAAGT